AATAGTCCCTGGTGGTCTGGGATTGCCTATGGAGACCTGGCTACCCTTGAACCTGTAGCTATTGAAATTGTGTGACAGGATCTTACTCTCTTCCAGTTAGACCTTAAACTCCTGGCAATCTCCTGCCTCAAGTCTCCCATGTACTGGGATGACTGGGATGCACCTCAGCCCTCAAAAGTCTTAAAATGACTTGCTCGGGTAGCCTGTGAGAAGGGACACGGGAAAACTTGCGCCTTCCGAAGGTACTGGTTTTCCTGTTGGGAATTTATCAACACTCTCATGGTGGAGTCACCTTCGAGGAGCTTCTGTTCTTCTTAGAAAGCAGTAATAATGAGGAATTGACTAGAGACTGGATATTGTACACGGGAAGACCCAACCTTCGGGTTCCTTGTAGGGCCCTGCATTAGTTATTTGGCTACCTTCAGGACGGAATTTCAAGGGTACTGTTGGAAAACGCCAGGGGTAGCATGTCCTGAGTGACACAGAGGAGGTGAGAAACTCTAGGGCCAACAAGACTTGTCAGAGGACGAAATCACAAAATCTTGAGGAGCGTTTAAACCATTATTTAAAAGGGAAATAAGATTCGGAGGTTGTTTCTATCTAGATAGTGGAAACCCAAGGTTCATCCCAGCTCTGGGAAGCAAAATGGAAGGAACAGGCTGGTCACCTGACCCAACTCTAATGTCAGCACTGGGGTACATAATAAAATCTCATGGGGGGATGAGGTGGTGCAGTCTGGGTCTTCAGGATCTAAATGTAAACTGATTTGTTGAACTAGTAAAGTTGACTTACGTGTCCCCGGCTCCCATTAGCTCAGGTTCCCATTGTCGGTGTGCGTACCCTGGTGTAAGTATGATTGGGACTTACCTCATGATGGTTATGTTTTCTGGCTTTTGTTTGGTGTGTAATATAATAAATGTGCTGTTTTCAAGACAGCTCACAGGCTGTCACATGCCTGTGAGCCCGGCAATCAAGACAAGGCAGTCAGGTTACCTAGAGACTGAGGCTACCTTGGCCTGGAGAAGGACCATGCCTCAAAAACATTAATACAGTTTGAACACTCCCATTAGAGTATTACAGTATTTCATTTCCAGGCATCCATGATAGACTCACTTAGTAAATAATGATAATAGTCAATCTTCTTAGGGCTAAATAAAACTCCACTGTGTTGATCTTCTTGATCTGCCTGCTGAACAGCAGCACGCAGGCTGGTGTCTTAGAACTTGGCTACTGTGACAAGATCCACAATAAACATGGATGGTGTGTGTAGGCATCGCTGGTGATTTGGCTTTCCTTTCTTCCTTCTTTTTATTGCGTTTATTTATGCGTTAGTGTCTTGGCAAAGCCAGGCTTGCTCAGCAAGCAGCTTTCTCTGGCCAGCCAGGTTGACTGCACTAGATCCTTTGGGGCGCATGGGTTATATAAGTAGTGTGTGTGGCACTTCCATTTTCTCCATACTGATTTCATAGTGGCCAAAATTACATTGGTATCAGCAGGGAGATGAAGCACTATTATTCTTTTATTGGTTTTTGTTTTTTTTTCTGTGTAACTTTGAAACCTGTTCTGGAACTCTGTAGACCAGGCTGGCTTGGAACTCACAGAGATCCTCCTGCCTCTGCCTCCTGAGTGCTGGGATTAAAGGTATGCGCCGCCGCCACCACCGCCACCCGGCCCACCATTTTTAAAAGTTGGAAACTGTATGGAGCCCTGGCTAGCTTCAACTTTCAGGCATGATCCTCCTGCCTCTGCCTCCAGAGTGCTAGGGTTACTGAAGTCAGCCGCCATGCTTGTTTTAAAGTGATTCGAGTGGAGGGAGGTCAGTAGGATGACTGAGGACAGATCTGAGGGAGTCGCTTTTGTCATGGCGTAGCCTCCAAGGGCACCTGTGTTTGGAGATGGTTACTTCATTTCTATATTTCTGAGGCAATCCTCCAATAATATACCTTAGAGGGAATTTTAACCGTACTTCCCAGGTTTGCTCTTGTTTCTCACCGTAAACACCACCTCTCCCCACCAAGCTAAAAGTGGATTGGCTTTGCCGAGGTAAGAATTAAACATTGGAATAGAAAAGAAGCGTCTGTAATCCTGAGATCACCACGGTGACTCATTTCAGGCCCAAATGTGCAGGAGCCACCGGATCTGGTGGTCGCCAGGCCTGATGAGCCACCAGGCTCCTGAAGAACAATAGGGTTTGTGTGGGGGGAGCACTCTAGCACTGAGTTAGAGAGCTGATTTTCTGCCCCGCCCCGGCCCCCAAGACAGGATTTCTATGTAGCCCTGATTGTCCTGGAACTTACTCTGTAGATCAGGCTAGACTTGAACTCTGCCTCCTGAGTGATTAAAGGCGTGCACCACTACCATCCACATGTAGGGTTTTTTTTTTTTTTTTTTTTTTGTGTGTGTGTGTGTGTGTGTGTGTGTGTGTGTGTGTTGGTGTCTGTGGGGGTACGTGCATGTGAGTGCCAGAGGTTTTGTACGATTCCTCCTGGAGCTGGATTTACAGGCAGTTGTGAGCTGGGAACCGGACATGAGTCCTGCAAGATCAGTACACTGCTAACCGCTGAGCCATCCCTCCAGCACCTTCTGTGGGTTTTTTATTCCCCAACTGGGGTTACAGGCTAAGCAGATACCTGAAAGGAATGCCTTGTAGGGTGTTGCCTTTTCACCTTTCAAAAGGGAAAAAGTATAATGCTTTGTTTTTTGTTTTTTGTTTTTTTCTTCAAGACAGGGTTTCTCTGTGTAGCTTTGTGCCTTTCCTGGAACTCACTCTGTAGACCAGGCTGGCCTCGAACTCACAGAGATCCGCCTGGCTCTGCCTCCCGAGTGCTGGGACTAAAGGCATGCGCCACCACCACCCAGCAATACTTTGAAGGCAAAAATGCTGCCTTCAAAGCTTTGCTTTGGAAACGATTTATCAGTCTCTCTGCTGTGGATGAAACCAGGGGCAGGAGCACAAATGAACCATATTCTCAGTCCCCAATGGAGAACTACCATTGTCTTAATTGTCAATTCTTTTCTTAAAAGATTTGTTAATTTTTTTCTTTATGAGGTATAAGAACTTTGCTTGCATGTATTTAAGTGCACTGCATGCTTACCTGGTGTTGGGAGCATCAGAAGAGGGAGTTAGATCCCTTGGAATTAGAGTTAAAGATGGTTATAGACCACATCTGGTGGGGGGGGGGAGAAAAACAATAGGAATAATGGTTGGGTGGAGGTCTGGCTCAGTAGCAGAGCCCTTGTCTAGCATGCATGAAGTACTGGTCCATAGGCCCTCAAGTTTGCCACACTGGGCTATAGTATGAGGACTCGACGGATCCCTCCCCACACTTGTGTGTGTGTGTGTGTGTGTGTGTGTGTGTGTGTGTGTGTGTGTACCTTTTACCCATGACAGTACCATTTTTTTTTAACAGATTTTGACAAAAATCGAGCATCTATACTGTGATCAAGAGATGAACAAGTTGGGTTGGCTCAGTGGGTCCAGTTTCATCTCTGAGCACCCACATGGTAGCCTACAGTACCCTGTAATTCCATTTCCAGGTGTTCTGACACCCTCTGCTGGCCAGGACAGGCTCCTGTACACATGTGGTGGGCATACATACATCCAGGCACACACAGACATAAAATACATAAATTTGAAATAAGCAAATTATTTATTTTTTAAAGACTTAATTCATATATATGCATAAATATAGTATACAAATTGCTAATTATGATGTACCGGTAATTGGAACATAATTACTGGTGGGAACATTTCCTAAAACTGCTAAAGCTGAATCTGCATACAGCACACACTGCATGACTCAGAACTTCCCTGTATGTATATGTTCTTATCAAACAAGAACATGAGATTCGTAGCTGTATATTTACAATATTCAATCTAGTAATGCGGGTACGAAGTAGAATGTCCAGTTTATGAATTATTGCACAGTAATGAAATCAGTGAGCTATGCTTACCCTCAACCAAATGTACCTAAGGCACAAGCATCATTGTCAGTGATAGGAAGTGACATCAGACTTCCTGCTAGGGCTGGCGAGATGGCTCGGAGGTTAAGAGCACTGGCTGCTCTTCCAGAGGCCCTGAGTTCAATTCCCAGCACCCACAGGGTGGCTCACAACCATCTATAATGGGATCTGGCGCCCTCTTCTGGCCTATAGGCATATGTGCAGGCAGAACACTGTATACATAATAAATAAATCTTTTTTTAAAAAAAAAAAGACTTGATGCTAATCTTCACAACGATGGTTTGCAGGCTGTCTGATGGCAAGTTCATGCTTGTGATGAGGTTATAGGGAAAACTGAACATGCTGTGCACTTGAGAGCTGCACCACACGCCACCCATCCTTTGTGATGCTGGGTATTGAACTCAGCCCCACACATCCTTTGCAAGTGTGCCCACTAAAGGAATACATTACTTTTGATTGATTGATTGAGCCTCTCTATGTAGCCCCGGCTGACCTACAAGTCACATGCTATATAAACCAACCACAGAAGTTTGTGTGCCTCTGCCTTCCTGGAGTTATAGGAGTGAACTGCTCTGCATGGTTTAAATGGAAGCAGGGATGAGGGGAGTGGAGGAAGAATGGAGGGATGAGGTCCCAGACTGCACGCATGTTATTGAAGTCATATCTCTAACCTCACTTTATTTGTTTGTTTGTTTGTTTTTTCGAGATAAGGTTTCTCTGTGTAGCTTTGTGCCTTTCCTGGAACTCGCTTTGTAGACCAGGCTGGCCTCGAACTCACAGAGATCCGCCTGGCTCTGCCTCCCGAGTGCTGGGATTAAAGGCGTGTGCCACCACTACCTTTAAGTGTCATTAAATTGTGGAATCCCAGCTAGGCACAGCTGCCCTTACCTGTAATCCCAGTGCCTGAAACTGAGTCAGGGGCATTGCCACAAATTCCAAGCCTGCTTGGATACCTAGAAAGAGTCTATGAACAAAAGAGTGAAGTCGTTGTCTTATTTCAGCAGGTAACAGGAGGAATTTCTGTGCTTGCTTTACAGGCTGCCTTTAACATCAAACCAGTAAATGGCCCCCAATCAGAGTCCATGGAATACAGTCAATGTGGTCATGGGGAAGGAGAGCAGAGATTGGATTTGATCACACATCCCCTTGAAAATGTAGGGAAAAATGCAGAAAACATGACAGGAGTCGAGGTGGAGAAATGGACGCCAAGCCAGAAATCACATCTGGCAGGTCAAGTCAAGGGAGGCCTCGATGCAAATTTCACTGAGGTTGAAAATTCCCCACCCCCCGAAGATGTCAAGCAGCAAACCCAACCGTCCCCAATGTTTGCTCCGACCGTAAGAAACGGCATGAAAAATGTGCACTGTTTACCTACCGACAACAACCTGCCGGTCAATAAATTGGATCTTGAAGAAATTAGCAAGGTTTTGGGAAATGATTCCTCTAAATTGCTGACTGACCCCTCAAACTGCAACGATGCCATGAACGCCACCATCACTTCTGCTGGGAATTGTGATCATCTCAAGGGGACAAGTAACATCTTGCTCTTCCAGAAGCCCGGCTTGACGTGCAGATCTGGTGCAGACTCCACCATCTTTAATAACCACCCTAATACACACAGTGCTGGTAGTCAACTCCAAACCCCCGAGAAGGTACCTAGTAAAGAACCAAAAGATGACTCTCCGGTTCAGCCAAGTCTTCTGTCTCTCATGAAAGACAGGAGGTTAACACTGGAACAAGTCGTGGCCATAGAAGCCCTTACTCAGCTCTCAGAAGCTCCATCCGAGAATTCCTCGCCATCGAAGTCAGAGAAGGATGAAGAAACAGATCAGAGAACGGCTAGTCTGCTTCACAGTTGCAAGGCTATCCTCCATTCTGTGAGAAAAGACCTCCAAGACCCAAACTTACAGGGGAAGTGTCCTCAGCACCAGGACACTGTCATCTTCAATGGCCAGAACTCAGCGTTCAAGTTGCCTGGTAGTTCAGCTACGATCCAAGCACTTGTAAAGGCACATGAACAGTCGGATTCACTTACAGCTGATAGGAAATGTGTTGCTGGAGGCAAGCTTACCCTTGATAGTTCTAAGAATTCATACCCACTGCCAGTAGAAAGTCATGATCCAGAAGACTGCACTCAGGCACTGAACAGCGATCAACAGTTGAAGTCCCAGCATGACCCACCATGCCAGGATGCACCGTACAGTCAAATCGAAGAAGATGTCGCAGCACAATTAACCCAGCTTGCATCCGCAATTAATTGCAATCGCCCAAGCCCAGTAGTGGAGAAAGCTGGAAGTATGCCAGGGAGCCTTGCTGCAAAGAATGTCCATCAAAAACATAGCCAGGAGAAAGGCATGGTACAAAAGAAACCACCTTCAAGTATACAAAACAAACCTAGCGTCCCACCAGCAAAGCCAAAGAAGAAGACCCGGAAAAAAGCAAAACCGACCCCCAAAGCAGACAAGCGGAAAAAGGAGCCCCCAGTCCCTAGCTCTCAAGAAAATGACCAGAAGAAGCAGGAGCAACTTGCAACTCAGTATAGTAAGATGTGTGACATTTGGATGTCATCTAAATTTCAAAGATTCGGCCATTCTGGACCACATGATGTTCCTCTCCTGTTGGGAGCTTTTCCTACCATTGATCAAATATCAACACCGACGGCTCCTTACAGCATATCCTTACAACACAATGCTTTATTTCCTCCTCTCAGTCAGATAACATTCACAAGACACTCTGAATTGGCAAAGGAGAAAGTGAAAGTCGAGCCACCAGATTCTCTACCAAATTGCCAATTCAAGACAGAATCCAGCGGGCAGGCAATTGCAGAGCCGGCAGATCATTCTCAGGTCCAGCCCATGGTGAATGTCCATGAGAACAATGCCCACCCTCTGCCCCAGCCCTCCTCTCCGTCTATCCAGTGTGCTAACATGACGCCTGGTGCTACTGAGACACAATCTCATCTAGGCACTCAAGAGAACCTGGTGCACCAGATACCACCAACGTTGCCTGGTACTACTCCTTTGCTAAACCCAACAACCAGCTCCGCGAGAGGGACTTTGTTGATTTTAAATCAAATTTCAGATGGGACCGTGAAGCATGAAGCAGAGGCATCAAGTGACGGACCACTGGGTGACTCCGCCACCCCCAGGGTACAGGCAGAATTGAATAAGAGCATCAAGACCTTGCTTAGCGAGCCTGTCAAGGTGCTGCTCGCCGGAGTGAGTGACTCAGAAGAGCCAACCTGTCACTGTAATGGTGAGTGTTCACTTGTGTGGATGTTTCCTTTCCAATTCATCTTTTTTTGGGGGTGGGGCAGCTTTGGCTCTTTTTCCGTCTTGCTAAGCTAGCCGCACTGAGTCCTTTATTTATTCTATTTTAAAAAATGGAAGTTTCAACCCATAAACTGGGAAAGGACGTGAACTTTTTCAAGTGGAAAATAGTGCTAGGTCCTCTCAAGTAGTTCACTTTCCTGACTAAGAGTGAATGTCCTCAACGCTTAATTATATTTGCTTGTTGTCCTACCTCTATTCAAACAAATTTCAAGCTGCAAGTATTTCATTTAATCTTTTTTTCTTGTGAAATCAAATAGGCATGCAGAGGATGTAAAAAATATGTACAGTTGAAATAACACTTGAAAATACCCACAGCTTCTGTCTGTGTTTTGCAGTAGGAAAGGAGTGCCCACAAACTCTAGTTGAGATGGGATCTTGAACATCATAATCTTGGTTCCTTAAAGGTTCTGTTAGTTATTGAGGTGTAAAGCACTTGCACAAGCCCGACCCCTAAATTTTGTGCCCAGAAGCCATGATGGAGGTTGAGGTTCTCCGACCTCCAAATAATAAAATTTCTTTTTAATTAAAATAATTCAATTAAATAATTTAATTAAAATAATTCATTAATCTTTTTTTCTGGAAGCACTGACTTTTCTATTTTGAGGGGGTGTGGTGGAGCCCTTAGTTGCAACCTTTGGGAAGCTGAGTGAGACAGGGCTTTGAGTCTATCCTGGGCTTTTTTAATTTTTATTTTATGAATGAGTACTCTGCTTCTGGGCAGAGAGCATCAGATCCTATTATAGATGGTTGTGAGCCACCATGTGGTTGCTGGGAATTGAACTCAGGACCTTTGGAAGAGCAGCCAGTGCTCTTAACTGCTGAGCCACCTCTCCAGCTCCCTAGCCTGGGGTTTCTAGCAAGAACTTGTCTTAAAAGAACAAAAATAATGCTAGAGAAATGACTCAGCACTTTAAAGCAGTTGGAAAGGACACAAGTTCAGTTCCCAGCAACATGTCCGGTGGATCACACATCTGTAACTCCACCTTTAGGAGATCCTACCTACCTACATCCTCTACTGGTGACCGCAGTGACATGCACTTACCCACACAGACATACATTTTTTAAAAGCTGTAGGAGCTAGAAAAAAATGTTTCAGAGGTTAAGAGCACTTGTTTTTGCAGACGACCCAGGTTCAGGTCCCAGCACCCATAACTGTTTACAGGAAATCCAATGCCCTCTTCTGACCTCCAGGGGCAATAGTCAAGCAAATGGTATATATACAGACATATATACGTACATAGGGAAAACATTCATATACAGAGAACTAAAGGGGAAAGGAAAGCTTTTCCTCAACCTTAGGAAGACCCACAGCCGCTGTTTCCTGAATGCTGTGAGTCAAGGCTTTTGCTGCCACTGCCAGAGGGTTTTTTTTCTTTTCCTGAATTAAAAAGATTCTACACTTATAAAAACACCCATCCCTGCTGGTGTAAAAATGATGATTGCTCATTCCTTTTTGAGAAATTTGCTCAGTATGTGAGACATGAAAGTTTAACTTGTGTCCTGACTAGTAACTGTCCACCCAGATTTCATGGAAGGACTCTATCTCACTGTAACAAGCATGTTACATGTGGTGGGATAGGCCTGGAATCCCAGCCCCAGGAGGCAGAGACAGGTGAATCTCTTGAATCAATACACAGATAGGAGAGCCAAGGACTTGGAGGGAAATCAAAATAAAACAAAGAAAGAGAGGTGGTATAGATGCTCCTGACGTTGTCTGCGAGATGGAGTTTGTGATACAGGGTTATTTTTTAAAATAGTTTCATGTCACGGGTGGCCCAAACTCAAGATTTGCTTTGAACCAAATGTGATGAGTATTTTTCATACTAGAAATGAGTGGTTTTTTTTTTTTTTTCCGTTTTGTTTTGTTTTTGTTTTGTTTGTTTGTTTTTGTTTTTGTTTTTTTTGACAGTGAATTGTTAGCTCTGGGCTGGAGGTATAATGTAATTAACTTGAAAGAATGAAACTCTGACTTTGATACTAAACACCCTTTAAAACTGGGTGGAGTGGCCGGGCGGTGGTGGCGCACGCCTTTAATCCCAGCACTCGGGAGGCAGAGCCAGGCGGATCTCTGTGAGTTCGAGGCCAGCCTGGACTACCAAGTGAGTTCCAGGAAAGGCGCAAAGCTACACAGAGAAACCCTGTCTCGAAAAACCAAAAAAAAACAAAAAAAACAAAACTGGGTGGAGTGGCCCCTCTTATATTTCCAGTCTACTCAGAAGGAGAATCGTTTTTGGCTTCTTAGCAAGTTCAAGGCAAGCATCAGACATATAAGGCCCTGTCTCAATCAAAATATACCCCTCACCTCCTCACACACGTCTCCTGTGTTCAAGAATATTCACACTAGAGTTGTGATAGTGTGAAACAGGTCTGCATGTAGCCTCCACCTGCCGTTCCTTTTAAATCCTAACATTACACGAAGTACTTTTCTGTGTATCTTTGCAAAGGGAAAAATAGATTTCCATTCTTTAAAAAAAAGCCTGCATATTTCTGGGCTAGTCTATGTGGCTATCCGGTTCTTCATTCAGAGTCACTGGTGACCATTTGACAGGCCTGGCAGTCCATTGCTGAACATTAAGTACCACTCTTTTTTAGGTCAGTGGTTCTCAACCTGTGGGTTGAGACCCCTTTGGGGTTGTTGAGCAACCCTTTTACAGGGCTCACCTTAGGCCATCAGAAATAGTCGATACCATTCGTAACAGTAGCAAATTTATAGTTATTAAGTAGTAACTGAAATAATTCTGGTTGGTGGGTCACCACGACATGAAGGTCGCAGCGTTAGGAAGGTTGAGAACTGTTGTTCTAGGTGACTAGGTGATGTTTGTGTGTTCTTAGGCATAGGGAAACAAATCTCCTGTCCTCTCACTTTTCAGGATAGTGTCGAATAGTCAAATAGAGGCTGCTATTTCCGGATCAGTGCTTGTCCCAGTTAAAGTCTGCAGTATTGACATTAGACCCAATTAATAGGGAATGTCCTGCCGTGAGTGATTTCATAGTATTCCTGGCCCTATTATGTTAGGTGGAAGTCACAGTGCATGCACGTACCTATACTTCACAGAAGTAAAAATAACCAGAGCTATATTGCCAAATGTCCCTATGGGCAGAATCACCCCTGTTTTTTTGGGGGGGTGGGTAGGGGTGGGTTTGTCACAGGGTTACTCTGTGTATCAATAACAGGCTATCGACCTGCCTCTGTCTCCCAAGTGCTGGAATTAAAGGCGTGTGCCACCACAGCTCAACAATCGCCCCTGTTCTTTTTTTTTTTTTTTTTTTTTTTTGGTTTTTCGAGACAGGGTTTCTCTGTGTAGCTTTGCGCCTTTCCTGGAAACTCACTTGGTAGTCCAGGCTGGCCTCGAACTCACAGAGATCCGCCTGGCTCTGCCTCCCGAGTGCTGGGATTAAAGGCGTGCGCCACCACCGCCCGGCTCGCCCCTGTTCTTAATCACCAATGAAACAGTCTCTTCCATATATCTTGCCAGGAAAGGAGCTGGTGAGATGGCTTGGTGGTTAAGAACATTCACTGGTCTTCCAGAGGACCCAGATTTAATTCCCAGCACCCATACAAAGGCTCACAATCTTCTTTAACTCCAACTCCTGTAGATCCAACACATTTGATCTTCACAAGCACATACCCACATACAAACACACACACCTAGACATAATTAAAGAAAATAAGGGCTGGACTTGCTCTAGGTTCATCCCTTGCTTCTTGGGTTTTTTTTTTTGGTTTGGTTTTTTGTTTTTTGTTTGTTTTTTTGTTTGTTTTTGTTTTGTGGGGTGTTTTTTTGTTTCGTTTTGTTTTTTGTTTTTTTGAGACAGGGTTCCTCTGTGTAGTTTTGGAGCATGTCCTGGAACTTGCTCTGCAGACCAGGCTGGCCTCAAACTCACAGAGAATCGCCTGCCTCTGCCTCCCGAGTGCTGGGATTAAAGGCGTGCACCACCACCGCCCGGCGGTTGTTTTGTTTTTTAATTGCAGATATTCCCTTACTTGCTATAATGCTTCCCCTCCCCCCATTACCAGTGATTCTACCTACAGCCTTGTATGTGCTAGGGAAGCGCCCCACATTTGAGTACATTCTCAAACCAGAATAATGACTTGTGTAAAAACACTGGCCAGAAATACATACAGTATGGAAAAGCCTCAGTGACAGGTGATCGTATGAAGCCAAACTGAACATGCTATTCCAGAATTCCACAAAAATTTATAACAAACTGGACATGGAGGTGCATGTCTGACAGGCATTTAAGAATAGCCTGGGCTACAAAGCAGGACCAGGTCTCATTCTCAAAAAGTCTCAGGCTCTTTTTTTAGGACACAGTCTACAAGAATTTAGGACTTTAAACATTTTTGTCAGTGGACTTTTGGTTGTGTTGGTTAAAAAAACAAAACAAAAAAAAAAACCCTAACATCTTCCTGTGTAGCCCTGGCCATCGTGGAACAGATCCACCTGCCTCACAAATCCAGTGTGGACCACCTCACCTGGCCTTAGTAGCCTGGTTCCTTTTTGAGAGGACATTAACATATAAGGCAGGACAGCCTTGAGGCCTAAGACGTTCTTTCAGTTCTCCTTCCCTGGTACTAGGGTTATGGGTGTACACCTCGAATCTCAGTAGGGACTTGCCTTTTGCAGTCACGGCCCATGGTTTTAAGACAGTCTGTCATGTAGGTGAGGTTGGCTCACACTCACTCTGTAGTCCAGGCTGCTCACGCCTCAGCCTCCCAAATGTGTGAACATCCACACTTCTACTTTTTAACTTAATAAAATTTCAGCAATACTAAAAGTTTTTAGCATTGCTCTAAGAGCTATTATGTTACTATATAAATGACCCATAACTTATTCCCTATTTGCAGGTGTTGAAGGAACCGATACCTGCAACAAGTAACTTTCTTGTACGCCTTTATTATAAATACCTAACTGTGGAAATGTAGTAGGCTAACTTTTTCCAGCATCACTTCAGATACTGAGGCTAACTTTATCAGATTTATTATTCTTTGCGTCCACAGTTACTATAGAAAACTACCCAGGCAGAAGAGCTGTGTGTGATCCCAGACCTTTGGCAGTAGAGTCAGGCTCATCAGGAGTTCAAGGTCACCTTGGCTGTCACTGAGTTGCAGCTCTACTGAGACCCCATCTTAAACTGTTAGTCCTATTAACAAAAAGGTTGAAGACGAGAATAAATAGGACCCCCTCAAATAGTTTTGTCTTCTCTCCTTTGACTCCTAGAAGAATTAGGAGCCAGAAGGTGGTAACAGGGGCGAGTCCAATGCCAAGACCTGTTGTCTTATTCTTTAAAGTTGAAACTGATTAAAAAAAAAAAAAAGCCCCCCCTGTGCTATTTTGCAAAACTGGGTCTAATAATCTTATTCCTTCCACAGATGGAGGTACACAAAAAGACAAAGGCCCATATTACACACACCTGGGGGCAGGACCAAGTGTTGCTGCTATCAGGGAACTCATGGAGACTAGGTGAGGCGATGTGTTCCCCTGCTAAAACTATTCTGCACCGCGGACCTGGGTCAATGCCGAGGAAAGGTCTTGGCGTGGTCATGAGGTGAATGAAGACGTTCAGGAGTGTGAGTTGGATGGTTCTTAGGTCTTCCTGAGTCCTTCCTCCCAGGAGCTCGGGGCACTGGAAACATGCCCTCCTCACACAGCAAGCCTAAGGGAGAAATCAGGAACATGGATTTTTCTATTACTGTGCAACGGTACAAATAGATCAGATGACCGCCACCAACGTTTTAACCCTAACTTCCCAACACTTGTCTTGAGGCCAGGCTATTTCTAGAGTCGTCTTGAAGTCAGTAGAACTGGGTAACAAAAAAAAAACAATCTGCCACGTAGCAGCCGGCTTTTAGCCAATGTCTATGATAACTGCTGGATTTTAACTGATGTTCGTGTGTGTCTTCGGTGAAAACACCGAGGTTCGAAGTAGAGATTGTCATTAATTTACCCCACCCCCCTACTGTGTTCTGTACCCAGGTTTGGCCAAAAGGGAAAGGCCGTCCGGCTTGAGAAGATAGAGTATACGGGGAAAGAAGGGAAGAGCTCCCAGGGCTGCCCCATCGCCAAGTCTGTGAGTGCCGCCGCTCCGCTCCGCTCGGCTCTGCTCCGCTCCGCTCCGCTCTGCTTGGTTCTCCGCAGAATGGGTTTTCTCCACCGGTTACAGTACAAGCTTTTGTTTTGGCCAAAATGGAGACTAGAAAGCTTGCCATGTCCACAGGAAGATGAGCAGGAAGCTGTGCCTTGACTAGGTTTTGGGTTTCAGTGGTAGGGTGTTAAATGCATTGAAGGGCAAAGGAAAAGTATAGGCTTTCCCCGTGGTCTCACAAGGACACTTTACAATTGGGATCACACATTGGCTCTGGGGGTTTTGCTTGTATAGTTATTGAGTGTGTATGTGTTTTTCAGTTTATCTGCTTTATGAATCTCTAGTGACTAAGTATACATCGATAGATTTTTGTTGTCCTTTTCATGAGACTCGACCTCAAAAAAAGGAAAAAATTTTTTTTCAAAATCAAATATTCCCACATCCTAACTACAGTTTTATGGTGCTTTGGTAATGTTCTTGTTCTGCCTCCTTCATTTTGTATTAATTCTTCTAGAATATTGACATTAAGATGAGTAATCAAGGGGTTGGAAAGATGGCTCAGAGGTTAAGAGCCCTGACTGCTCTTCCAAAGGTCCTGAGTTCAGTTCCCAGCAACCACATGGTGGCTCACAACCATCAGTAATGAGATCTGCTGCCCTCTTCTGGTGTGCAGGCATACATTCAAACAGAACACTGCTTACATAATAAAGAATAAAAAAAGATATTTAAAAAAAAAAGATAAGTAATCAAGAGATTGTAAAAGGATTTTTCAATGGGCGTGGCGTTGTATCACTCCAGCCTATGGAGTTAAGGTCTTCTTATGCACTATGGGGTAGGGGGAGAAAAAGGGAGACTGAACTGAGGAGAGGGAGGCCAAGGATACCCTTCCGGTGTTAAGATTTTATTTATTTTTCGAGGAAGAGCCTTGCTTGGCAGAGGAAAAGCAAGTAACAAAGGTCAAGGGGGAGGGAACCTAAAAAGTAAGGCAGTAGCTACCTGTTCTGACCGTCTTGATTCCATCCTGGAGGTCAGTCATGTGATGGAGGGAGGGAACCAGTCCTCCCAGCTGATCGCTGCACACATAACCCAGCAATTAGATAGAAGTAGTGCTCCAAGAGCCCAGGCAGACTGAGAAGGTGAAGCTGGCATGCAATAAGGATGCCAAGTCCGGGGTGACTTGATTGCCGTAGTGAGCAGTTGTATATTCTGTATACAACTGCAGCCTTTGAAGGACCTTAGAGAAGGATATGTTGTCTGCTTCCTTTTTTTGTTTTCATTTATCAAGACAGTGTTTCTCTGGGTAGCCCAGGTTGTCCTGGAACTCTGTAGACCAGGCTGGTCTCAAACTCAAAAAGATCCGCCTGTCTCAGCCTCCGGAGTGCTGGGACTAAAGGCGTTCGCCACCACAGTGGCCATTCTCATTCAAACCACCACACCATCAGAGGGCAGATGTCAGGAAACCTGAGTGTCCTGTGAAGCAGGAGTCATATAGTCCACTCCCACTTTTAACACAACATAAAGTATTTAGTGTACTGTTGATAAAGCCATTTATTTATCTGTTTGTTAGAATGAGTGCTGATGATGTGTGTTCCAGTGCACATGGCCACGTGTGTGGGCATGCACATACATACATGTGCCTACCGAAGCATTCCTTTGGTAAACGGCACACCTTTCAACACAGGCTCTTGTTGGCCTGGAGCTTGCCAGTGAGCTCCAGAGATATAACTTCCTCCACTTGCGGTGCAGAGATTAACAGATGTATCAGGTTCCTCCTGGTGTTTTCATACGGGTTCCGGGGACTTGAACTCAGGCCCTCACGGTTGGACAGTAAGTTTTTTACCTACTAAGAAATCTCACCAGCCTCTAAATGTGTTTTTAAAAATAGGTGTAATGTGTGCTAATTGCTGACTGGTCTCTACTGCAACCAAACTGAAGACAGGGACCAAGGAGGCCTCGGGGTAGTGCTAGAGATGGAGCTTAGTGATGGGGGTCATCCTCTATCGTGGGTGATAGATGGACATGCTGACTTAGTTCACTGATGGTTGGTTTCCCAGCCTGAACCGATATAATGGCATAAATAAACAAATTCCTGGACAGATCCTGTTGAAGTCACAAGCTGACTGAGTGCAGTCCAGGGCTCAGCGGTACTCATTGTTACCTCTGACATGTTAAGGGTTTTGCTATTTCTATAGAGAATGAAAGTCTTCTACCAAACCGTTTGCTCTACAAATTAAGGGTGAACCTAGGCCTTTGTTCTAGAGTATTTGGTTACTCTTTTGTTGGTGTTTGAGACTGGGGTCTCCCTGTGTGGCCTTGGCTGCCCTGGTGTATGCCGTGTAGATCAGGCTGGCCTCAAAGCCATCATCTGTTCATCCCTGTCTGGAATTAAGGGTTTTGAGCCACCAAACCCAGCCTCAGTCTAATTTGCTTTATGCTTTAAATTTTTTTTGTTTATTTTGCATCTGCTTCCCTGTGCAAGTGTGTGTCCGTTTGTGCACATGTGTGGAGGTCGGAGGATAACCCGAGAGAGTTCAGTTATATCCTTATCGAAGTCATGGTGTCGGTCTTGGTGGCAGAAACCTTGTTATCTTTTCAGGCCTTCTCCAGTGTTTTGAAGGTGTACCATAAAGCTATAGTGATCTGTGCTGTACGGGGCGCTGGTTAGTCACTTTGACACAAGCTACAGGCATCTTGGAAGAGGGAACCTCAGTTGAGAAAGCATTAATCAGATCAGTTTGTAGGCAAGCCTGTGGGCCATTTTCTTGATGTGAGTAGGTCTGTCTGCCCATGGGCAGGTGGTCCTGAGTTGTCTGAAAAAGCAGGCTGAGCAAGCCAGTAAGCAGTGTGTGCCTCCGTGGTCTTTCCTTCAATTTCTTTTTATTTATTTATTTATCAGAACAAAGGTGACCGTCATAGGGTGAGACCGTCAATGAAACAGAATTGATAGTTGACAGTAAACCTTCAATGACTTTTTTTGTTTGTTTTTTTTTTTCAAAACAAGGTTTCATAATCTGTTTTGCTGTGTGACTATATAAGTGAATGTAAGGGCTGGAGAGAGAGCTCTTGGCTTAAGAGCTCTGGGTGTTCTCCCAGAAGACCCAGGTTTAACTCCCAGCACCACACAGTGGTTCACGATTGTCTGTACTGCACTTATTTGTGTGGAGCAGAGAAGCATGCAGGCAAAACACTCATAGGTGTGAGTATAAAGATTGAATTTTTTGTTTGTGTTTTTTTGGTCAGTTCAGACTGATCTCATTGTCTATATAGTCCAGGACATTTTTCAAATGTATGAACCTCCTGCCGTAGCCTCTCAGACACCATAGTTACAGACATGGCTACTATGAACAAATATATTTATAACAAATGGGTTTTAGTCTGCTTTAATTTTTTCTTTTCTGATGGCCATATTTAATTTATTTTTGTTAGTCCTTGTGTGCGTGTGCATACATGTATGCTGCAGAGGAAAACTTAATTTTTCTGCTATGGGTTCTGAGGATCCACTGACTAATTGCCCATCTTACCGGCTCTAAATTGTTTTTGATGAGTGCCTTCACTAAATTTGTTAAAAACTAACGTCTTCATCTACTGTAGCTAGAGTTTTCCTGCCTGGCCCACAGTCAGGATAAATCTCTCTCTCCTGCCAGTCCCACAGCCGTCAGACCCAACCAAGTAAACACAGAGACTTATATTGGTTACAAACTGTATGGCCGTGGCAGGCTTCTTGCTAAATGTTCTTATAGCTTAAATTAATCCATTTCTATTAATCTATACCTTGCCACGTGGCTCGTGGCTTACCGGCATCTTCACATGCTGTTTGTCATCGTGGTGGCTGGCAGTGTCTCTCTGACTCAGCCTTCCACTTCCCAGCTTTATTCTCCTCCTTGTCCCGCCTATACTTCCTGCCTAGCCACTGGCCAATCAGTGATTTATTTATTGACCAATCAGCAACACACTTGACATACAGACCATCCCACAGCAATCTACCATTAATGGTAATGGATCCTTCACTTTGAAAGAGTTGAACCTACCTGCTTATGTATAACAATACCACCTACCTCAACAGATCTTCTCAAAGGAACCAAACTGATATACACAAATCTGTTAGTAACCATCTAGCAGGAATTATTGTCAAAAGGGTGGGTAACCAACGACCATCAACTAAAGAATGTAGCAACAAAACGTGCTTTACCCATGCCACGAAGTAATCTGAATCAATGAGAATGAATAAAATGCAACGGACTATCTGGATCAGGCTGACCCAAACTCAAAGATACAGCTGCCTGAGGTCCTGGCAAGCACCCCCACCCCCACCAAGCCCAGAGAGAATTTTAAAATTATCTAAATTTAGTTGTGGTTGAATATTGAATCCAAGACTTTGCACATGTCAGACAAGTGCTATGTTATTAAGCCTCCCTCCCATCCCCCCAAACACACACACACACACACACACACACACACACACACACACACACACACAAAAGTAAATCTTAGAGCTAAAGAGACATCTAGCGGTTGAGTGTGTGCACACTGCTCTTAGAGAGGATCAAAGTTCAGTTCCCACCAGCCATGTCAAGCATCAATGCATGCATGTGGTACACACACACACACACACACACACACACACACACACACACACACACATACACACACACACGCAGGCAAAGCATTCCCATATAAAATGAAATTAATACAATAATTTAAAAACAATCTTTCTGGCCATGCTGTGGTGGCACACGCCTTTAATCCCAGAACTCAGAAATCAGAGGCAGGCAGATCTCTGAGTTAGAGGCCAGCCTGGTCTACAGAGCAACTTCGAAACTTGGTGGTGTTGTGAGTCTGTGGTAACCAGGAGCCAATTTTCAGTTTCCTTATCAATTAACTCATTTTCATTTCCTGGAATAACCCTCTGTCTAGTGCTATGACTCTGTGATAGGTCACCTGCTTCTGTCCCTCTCCAACCTAGAAACAACGATCCCCACTTCTGCTAAGAGAAGGAGGGGAGTGAAAGTGCAGTTTTGTAACTGCAGGTAGAGCTGCCTGGAGTTTCCTTGGTTCTGAAAGTCTTAGGAGAAGTTACTTGCAGTTTTTGTGTTTGTCCCCAAGGTTCAGTTCCTTTGAATTTGGTAGTTTGTATCTTTCATTTGAAATGCCTTTGAGATTTGTTTTACCTTCGTGTTCGTGTGGGTGGAATGGTGTATCGGAGGGCGTTCGAGTTATTTGATTGTTTGTTTGTTTGTTTAGGTCTCTTGTCCAAGGGATGGAACTCAAGGCCTCTTGCATGCCAATCAAGCCCCCTACTACTGTGATGGGCCTCCAGATAGTTTAAACAGCTTTTCATTATGGCTGATTGGCTGGCCAGGAACTCTAGACGGGGAGCTCTTGGTTTAAATGTCAATGCCACCAAGCCTAACTGTGTTGCTTCTGGGGACTATAATTCAGGTCCTGTTCGTGCTGAACCTCCTTGCTGGTCCTACCTCCAGCATTCTTATCACACACACAGGAAAAATTACATAATGTATATTTAATATACATATGATTTATGCTTGTATCATAAGTGTGTGTCAATGATTGGCTGGGTGTCATATTTCAGGGCACATTTGTTGACTAGAAGATAAGTATAGACAGCTAATGCTTTGTACCACGTGAGCTTCATGCATCAAACTCAGGCTGTCAGTTTTTCTGTTGTTTGGCAGGCTCTCGATGTGTAGTCCTTGCTGGCCTCCACCGCCTATGAAGAGCAGGCTGGCCTCCTGACCTCCAGATGCTGTAATTCAAGTTATGCCCCAGCACATCTAGCTGGCTGTCAGTCTTGTTGGCAGGCCTCAAGGCAAAACCAAACCACACATCCCACCTCATGAAAGGCAGCTAACTGGTAACATTTATTGAAAAGACTATTAATATCATTTGTTTGAAACCGAGCCCTCCTATAGCCCAGGCTGGCTTCAAACTAGATGTGTAGCCAGGGATCATCACCAACTTGGGTTCCTGCCCCTACCTTGGGGGCTGGGATTGCAGGCACCCGTCTCTTTGTGCTGGGTTGATGTGGTGTTTGAGACTGAGCACAGTGTGGAGACTCAGGCACACTGAGCAAGCGCTCCATTATTTGCGCTATAGCCCAGTCAAAAAGTCCGTACTTTTTACATTGAAGGTCATGTTCTCCTTAGGTTAATTGCTCTTTAACATGGCAGAAGCGCCTTTAATCCCAGCACTCAGGAGGCAGAGCCAGGCGGATCTTGTGAGTTCGAGGCCAGCCTGGTCTACAGCGTGAGTTCCGGGACAACCAGGACTGTTTCACAGAGAAACCCTGTCTCGAAAAATAAAAGAAATAAAAAGAAACTTTCTTACAATCAAACACAAACGAATCATAAAGTGTTGATAGGGATTGCATGAAATCTAGACAAGTGTTCCTCTGCCATGGTAGCTACATTTCATTGGCCTTCAACATTCTGAGAACTTATACAGCTCCTAACTAATGTGTTTAGTTTGTTTTTCACTATAGATTTCTTGAAATAAGACAAATGTTTCTCTGGGCATAGTGTCCCATGACTAGTCTCCACACATTGTTCCTGGGCAATGATCAGTTCAACTAAGCAAGGTGTGGTTGACAAAGGAAAATTCTGTCCCAGCCAGTGACAGGCAAGCCTTTCCGGTACAAAGAGCTGATGAATATAAGTTGTTTCCGGGGCTGGAGAAGTGCCTCGGTCGTTAAGAGAATTTCTGTTCTTACAGAGGTCCCAGGTTCATCTCCCAGCACCTACATGGTGTTCCAAAACTGCATGTACCTGACACTCTCTTTTGGCAACCCCAGACACTAAGCTCCTCCCGTAGGCTCCATATACATATTCACATGTAAACGCTGTAAATTTGAAATTTAGTGAAAATCTCTCTCTCTCTCTCTCTCTCTCTCTCTCTCTCTAAGTAATTTTTTACAATGAGTCAAAGTCCCGGGCTATATGGGACTTTTCTCAAAAAGAACAAGTAACAATAAAAAGTCTGGCCTTCCAATGCATAAAGCTGGTATAGATGAATCCATTCTGCTTTTCCAGGTGCTTAGGAGAAGCGGTCCTGATGAGAAGGTTCTCTGCTTGGTCCGGGTGCGTGTAGGCCACACCTGTCAGACAGCTGTGATGATCGTGGTTATCATGCTGTGGGAAATCATCTCTCGCCCGATGGCTGACTATCTGTACAAAGAGCTCACGGAGAACCTACGGTCCTACAGCGGGCATCCTACTGACCGAAGATGTACCCTCAACGAAAAGTAATCAGATTTGCTTTCAACTGCCTCGACTTTTCTCTCTGTTGTTTGTGCTAAATGTATAAGTAACTGTCACATGAATAGCAGGGCTTTTAAACACCGTGAAAGGAAGATCAACCTTTGCCGGGATTGGTGTGCACACCTTGAGGTAGCTGGACCTCCAGGAGGTGGAGGATAGCTTGCTTCATCTTCTTAATGTTCTGGGCCAGCTAAGACTGCACAGTGAGAGCTTATCTTTTTTCCTCCTTGTCTTTTTAAATGCCCTTAAGAATATTCTGCTTTGGAATTCATAGGGGTGGGTGAAGGGCTAGTGATTGAACCTCAGCCTTGTTCATCTTAATGGACACATATCTACCATGTAAATATACACCCCCAGAACTTAGAATATTCTTATTTTTGTTACTGTATCTGAACCAACTCACTGTTAGAGAGTATGAGGAAATGGTCTTTAATGGAGCATTCTTCATCAGAATTTGAGGCCTCTTCCTGATAAATTTAATGCAGAAGTAACATCAATGGAATTTTGCTTTGGCTCCCATTATTGTTGATCTCCTAATCCCATGTGCCCCCTTCTATCCTATGACTGTGAACTCGTGGTCATTCCTTTTTATTTTGTTTGAGGAGTCTTGCCTTAGCTGATCTGTATGGAACTGTGTCTCACCCAGTCTGCAGCCACTCAGACCCAAATAAACACACAGAGGCTTATATTAATTATGAACTGTATGGCTATGGCCTATGGCTCAAGCTTCTTGCTAGCTAGCTCTTATAACTAAACTCAGTCCATTTCTGTTAATCTATATGTTGCCATGTTTTCCGAGGCTTTGCCTGTGTGCCATTACATGCTGCTCCCTGGACGACGGGATGGTGTCTCCTCTGCCTCTCCTTTCTCCTCCCACTAACTCCCTTGGATTTTCCCACCTGGCTCTATCCTGCCCTGCCATAGGCCAAACGGCTTTATTTATCAACCAATCAGAGCAACACATACTCACAGCATACAGAAAGACATCCCACAGCATCTGTGCATAGCCTATCAACCTTCCTGGCCCTTTGGGCTTTATACCTCTGTGAATTAATGATTCTGGGTCAATTTTCCAAAGGAACTTTTTCCTTTTTTGAGACAGATTCTCAGTAGCTAGTACAGACCCTGAACTCATGATTGATTCCCCTGCCTCTTTATAGCATTATCTTAAGTATTGTGTGCTGTCCATTTGTCCACTTTCTTGTTTCCCAAAAGTGTAAAAAGGACAGCATAGCTGAGCGTGTGTAGCTCAGTGGTAGATTGTTATCATCCGAGAAACTGAATATAAATTATTTTTTTATTTGTCTACCAAGTTTAAATTCCTTCTGTTGGGATTTGACCCTTTGGACCTCACATCCATCCCATGGTTCCTTCTTTCCAGGTTCTTATAGTGCCTTGTACCTTGGTCATGTCTGCAGATTCTTCCATTGGTTTATTTTTGAGACTTGGCTCATTGCAGAGCTAACAGCACATGTATCGTCTTCCCCTAGCCAACTCTAAAGCACCAGGCTTACAGGAATGCATGGTTTGATAGTGTCCAGGCTGCTGGGAACAAGGATCGACCAGCACGCCTCATCTTTCCTGATTGTATTTTTCCATACAGTCTTAGGTTATTGTCTTGCCTTTCACATCTAAATTTTTTATATCATTTTAAGGTAATTTTAAATTAAATCCAGAGCTGACAAGTATCTCATCCACAGCATCACAGAAAATAAGGAAATAAATCAATAAAATTCAGATATTTAGGATTTTCCCGCCCTCTACTGGGACCGACTCAGTGTCCAATACCATGCATCCTCATCCCCCGCTCTCTGTAATTTTAATCCTTTATTTACCTTTGGATTTTTAAGACAGGGTCTATGTAGCCCTGGTTGACCCGAACTTCTAGGCTTGTTAATTTAGAATCTAATTTAGTGCTGCAGAGAAGTCCCAAGGTGTTAAATTTACCAAGTTCCTGAACAAAATAGCCTTTCTCTTCATTATTCCTATTGTAATCCTCCTAAAGTCTTTTCATTAAAATTGTAGGGGATTGCATAGTTAGTGTATCTTAGTCTCATTTCCAATTTGATGGAAAGGAAAAAGAAATTATGTCCATGTTCATTTTAGACACAATGTAACTTGTTCTTTATGTTAGGGAAGATTTTTAGTTGCGTGCCTTCTATTTCTCTACCTCAAGCAAAGGATAGTTTTGTCTATTTGGATTTGGAACCTTAAACAACAATTTTAATAAAAAAGAATCAAGAGTGGATTCAGAGTGAATAGGATAGATTGTACATTTGAGGCTGGATGTAGCCAGGGTGTGTTTTAATGAAGAGAGTCAAAGTAACTGTTATAACCTGTTCATAATCCATACCTGGCTCTGGAACTCTGTGACCTTGTCTAACACCTGGCTCACCACCTTCCAGTCGCACCTGCACCTGTCAAGGCCTCAATCCGAGGACGTGTGGAGCATCTTTCTCCTTTGGCTGTTCGTGGAGCATGTATTTCAACGGCTGTAAGTTTGGCAGAAGCCGAAACCCCAGAAAATTCAGACTTGCTCCAAACCATCCATTAAACGTGAGTTTCCTTTTTAATTTTTATTGCACCATCTACAGGATATAACCATGTATAGTTCCTCAAAGGTCTTTTGAGAACAAAATTTTAGCTATTAAACAGTCATAAGTAACTAAAATACGTTTGTAGATACATATTCTAAATATGTCGGGTAAATACTTGCGCTATTTCAGTTGTCTGTGGGTCTATTGTCTTCCTGCTTCCCAACACCAGAGGGAACCATTACTAAAGGAAGCTAGGACTTTTCGGGCAGTCAGAGTAGAGCAGACCATTTGCCGACTTTCTAAAGACTGAGAAAGTTTCCTACCCGCAGAGCTACTATAAGAGAATCACTGGAGTGCGTTTTGTCAAGAGGAGACGCGTGAAGCCCGTGAGACCTAGACGGATGGTTCCAGAACACAAGGCCCTGGTGAGCAGAGAGTGGTCAAAGTTACTAACTATTCACCTTTTTAAATTGAAACACGAACTTGTGAGTCCAGCTAGTCAAGCTGGAGCTGGGCGGTTACGGCTGGATAGGTACTAAATATGGAGATATATTTGTATTTTGTAGGGGAAAAAAAAAGATGGATCAATTACCATCACTAAACAGAGTTCTTTACCTAATTAATACATTTGCAAATTTCTTTCTCGGATGCACCAATCACTATATTTTTATTTTTATTTATTTATTTATTGAGGCAGGGTTTCTCTGTGTAGCCTTGGCTGTCCTGGAACTCACTCTGTAGACCAGGCTGGCCTCGAACTCACAGAGATCCGCCTGCCTCTGCCTCCCGAGTGCTGGGATTAAAGGCGTGCGCCACCACCGCCCGGCCTCATCAGTAATCTTTTAACAAATAGAAATTATATTTACATTAAGTATTCAAAGAATATCACATAATTCAGCACATTGGAATTAAACCATTTTAATGCAAGGTAAGTAGTAAATATGATACACAGCTGCTGTCAATCAATGTTTTTGTATTATACATATTTCATATCTCACCGTAACATTCATGAGAAAAATCTCTGTAATATCTACTGCTAAAGGTATATAACACCTCAGAACAAGACTAATGAAGTGTATTTGACCTTTAGATCAGTATAGACGTAGATTCTGTAGATAACTATAGAATATCTATAGTGTGTTATCAGTACTCCCTTAAGGTCTGGCAAGCTAAAGTCAGGTGTAGCAGCGTACAACTTGAAAGTCAAAGCCAGGCAGGTTGGAGCAGAAGGCAAGGCAGAGCTAAGCTACATATTGAGACACTGTCTCAAGAAACAAACCAGGGCTTTGAGACTTCATTTTTGTCCTGCTGTGTGACTGAATTACCTGTTTATAAGTACCTTAGAAGTAAATTTATAAGCAGGACGAAACCCAGGAACTGACAGTACACTGGTATAGCTGGTGTGTGCATCCGCTCTGTAAGCCAAAGGCGAGGATTGGCAAGTCATAGAAAGGCTTGACCTAAGGACACTCATCTTTCTTGACGTTTCGCCAGATGCTCTCTTTCTTAGTTATAGACTGGAATTAGCCAAGAGGCTTTGCAAATGGACTGTCTCTAAGGCATGGGGATAGTAACTGTGTTCCAACGACTTAATGCTGTGCCAAGTTTGGTTGGAGATGTAAAAAATTGGTTTGAAATAAAGAAATCAGATTGTGTCGGTGAAGACAGCTCTTCCGTAGAAAGCAGGATTGTTGATTTGACATTTCCTGAGTGATGAGTAATGTCATCTTGAGGATAATGTGACTTAGGTAGTTGACAGAGCGATCCTGGGTGCAGGGTCAGTGTGCCTAAACCTTAGGAATGACTGAGAAGAGTAGAGGGTCCTGGGGTTGCACACCAACAGGCAAAGCTCCATTAAGAAGCCATGAATAGGGCTGGAGAGCTGGCTTGGTGGTTAAGAGCCCTGGCTGTTTTCCCAGAGGTCCTGAGTTCAATTCCCAGCAACCACATGGTGGCCCACAACCATCTGTAATGAGATCTGGCGCCCTCTTCTGACCTACAGGCAAAATATGCAGGCAAAACACTGTATACATAATAAACAAGTCTTTAAAAAAAAAAAAAAAAAAAGAAGCCACGAACAGGCTAGAAAGAAGTCTCAGTGGTTAAGCGCTGTTATTTGCTTCTGTTCAAAACTTTTCCCAAAACTATCATACAGATGATGACGTACTCATTCTGACTCTGACACTGGTTTGTCCATACTAAAACAGGCACTACCATAAAATGCAGCTCTCCTGGTGTGCTGGAATTATAAACATATCCATTTAACCTAGATTCTTGGGTAATTGTATTAATCGTCTTATTATTTCTCAATCTGGAGCATTTATATAGAAGAGAACCCTAAATACTAATAAATCTCAGTGCATAGTTTTCTTTTTTCTTTTCAGTGTTGTGTAGATATGAAAACCCATAGCCTCTGCATGAGCAGTAAGGGGAACCATCTCCCTAGCCCCTCTCGTGGTTTATTTAAAGATATGGGATCTTTTAATGGAGCGCTGGCCAGCCTCTAACTCAAAATCCTCCAGGCTAGCCTACCAAGCATGCTCACCGGCATGCTTATTTGAAACTCCTAGGATAAGATATTACATACATACAATACTTTATATATATTGCTCTCTAATCTGGAAAACATCCTTCTATCCCTCACCTTGCCTTCAAGTGTCCAGTTCCCTTAAGTAAATAGATATGTTTTCTATTCAAGAGCAGTGTTGGAACGTATCCTTCACTATATAGATTTCTAATGTTAAAATTTCCATTTCAAAAGATATAATTAGACCATAACAACTTCTAGTAGCTCAGATTAAGACAATTATCTTGTATCCTACCCACTGTATTATGGTAAGTAAGAATTATATGTCAACCATGCCGTGACATTACTTATGGTGGAGTTTTTGCCTGTTAACTCACTTTACAGTCTTTTAAAATTATCTTACGGGGATTCTTTTTTACTATAGGAAAAAAGGCTTGAAGACATGTTACAGGGCTTGGCGACCAATTTAGCTCCAATTTATAAGCAGATGGCTCCGGTTGCTTATCAAAATCAGGTATTTTTTTTTTTTTTTTAAGAACCCTTCAAATGACCTTAAGTATACATCGACTTCCTATGTCAAAACAGTTATCATTAATTGAATCATAACCATAGGCAGAGTGGGTGTGGGGGAAGATGCCATTTAAAGGTAGTGCTCTGCTATCTTCTTTAGGCTCTCCAGAATTCTAGGGGCAACAGAACTAGGTGGGAGGCCAACCTGATACACAAGGCACCTTGTTTCAAAATGAGTAAAGGAGGATAGAAAAGATGGCTCAATGTTTAAAAAGCTCCTGGTGTTCTGGCAGTAGTGGCTTATGCCTTTATTCCCAGTGCTTGGAAACCCTCCAGAAGCAGGTAGACTTCTGGGTTCCGGGCTAGCCTGGTCTACAGCGAGAGACGCTGTCTCAACCCCTCCCCCCTACACGCACACAAAAGAGCTCTTGAGATTCTACAGAGCACTCACATGATGGCTCACAGCCAACTCCAGTGTCAGGGGATCCTATCCGATGACCTCCTGCTTCTGTGGGCAGTGAATGGCTGTACCTATACATGGGGAGCTACATACACGTCCGTGCAGACAAGACATTCGTAAGTATAAAATAAATACATGAAAAAATAAATAAACATAGAGCTGGGCATAGTGACACATGCCTTTAATCCCAGTGCTAGAGGCAGGCAGATCTGTGAGTTTGAGGCTAACCTGGTCTACAAGGAGAGTTCCAGGATAGCCAGGGCTACACAGAGAAACCCTGTCTCAAAAATAAATGAATAAACACTATGCTGGTATACAGAGACAGGCCCCGCTGACTCATCGTTCATAAAATGAGTACTTTCTGCTGCTTAACTCACTGGGTTTGTTTTGGGGTGAGGGCCAGTTTGTGACTCAACAGCCAGAGCACCAAGTGCCTATATCCACTGAGGCATCTTATCTACCGGCCCTTAACACTCTTGCGCACATGTACACGTATCTAGATGCAAAACCAAACTCATACTTAGGAATTTAAGGAGGAAAAAAAATCGGGCCTAGATACATAGTTTGGTTCAGAACACTGGCTGCTCTTTGGAAGACATGGCTTCAGTACCCAGCACTCACATGGTGGCCCAAACTATCCCTAACTCCACTGTCACCCTCTTGTAGCTTCTGAACTTGCACACATGATACACAGATGCACGCAGACAAAACCACCCATACATAAAACAAGTCTTTTTAAAAAAAAAACATCTTTTTATTGGTCTGTTTTGTTTTTTAAGGTGGAATATGAAGATGTTGCTGGAGACTGTCGACTGGGTTATAAGAAAGGCCGCCCTTTCTCTGGTGTGACCTGTTGCATGGATTTCTGTGCCCATTCTCACCGGGACATTCACAACATGAATAATGGAAGCACTGTGGTACGTACGTACGTGAATGGCTTTTAGTCCTCCTTACTTTATCCGTCCTTTTTTTTTTCCCCTTTCCTTCCTAGACAGGGTTTCTCTGTGTAGCCCTAGATGTCCTAGGCTCACTCTGTAGACCACGCCGCCTGCCTCCGCCACCCAAGTTCTGGGATTAAAGGCGTGGGCCACCACTCCCGGCTAGCTGTGCTCTTGAAATGTAATAGTGTTGAAAATATTTTTTATATACTGTGAGATATTAAGGTCTCTATATACATATATATATGTACATATATATGTGTGTGTACGTAAAATTTATTGTTGGACGTGGTTGCACATGCCTTTAATCACTGCAATCAGGAGGCTAAGGCATTTGGATCTCTGTGAGTTTCTAGACCAGTGTACGTCTACAGTAAGTTCCGGGTCAGCTGGATAATATATCATAGTACACCAGGAGCACATGGCCCACAGAATCAAAGCAGGGCTCCCAGGGACCTGTGGGTCTGCGCTAGGCCCTCTCCGTGTACGTTACACTTGTAGCTTGGTGTTCTTACTGGACTCCCAACACTGGGAATTAGGGGTGTCTCTGACTTTTTCCTGTGTTTGGGACCCTCTTCTCTCCTGAGTTGCCATATCCAGTCGTGGTGATTATATCTATTTCAGTATTTTGAGACAGGGTTTCTCTGTGTGGCCCTGGCTGGCCTGGAACTCACTCTGTAGACCAGACTGGCCTCGAACTCAGATCCACCTGCCTCTGGCTCAAGTCTAATTTATTTTTTACCTTCTGTGTAATAGATTAGAACTGTTGAGTACTCAATACTTAAATATTTTTCTCTTCTTTTTATTTATGTATGTATGTATTTATTTATTTATTTATTTATTTATTGGTTCATCGCAATTTATCGAAGCCAAATTTTAATGAGATTCTGTTATCCCAAGAACTGGGAGGCCGTAGGCAGGAAGATTACACAAGCTGAAGATCATCCTAGATACTCTATGTCAAAAATTACTTCATTAGGACCTGGGCCTATGCAGGCTACATTTGCTACTGATCCTGAAACCCTGAGATCTATCCAGCACTACCGCATGGTAGATGGAGAGACCCAACTGACTCCTTCAAATTGTCCTCTGACCTCATCAGATGCACCATACATCATGCCCTTTGCTTGTTTGTTTTGGTGTTTACAAATAAGTGCTTTAAGAAATCATGACAGAATCATTTGATGTGGCCCGCCTTATGCACGTAAAGTAAACCCAGTTATGTTTTCCACAAGTCCTGAGGTTGGTAGGGGTGGAGATTTTATTTTTATATTTTTACATACTGGCCTGGAAAACATCAATACAGCTCAGTCAAGAATATACTTAATAAATTCAGTTGCGCCAGCAAGATGGCAAGTAAGTATATAAGTAAATGTAAATTTAAAAACTGTTGAAGGGCCTTGTCTTAGTTAGGGTTTCTTTCTGCCTCCCGAGTGCTGGGATTAAAGGCGTGCACCACCACCACCCGGCTAGTTAGGGTTTCTGTTGCTGTGAAGAGGCACCATGACCATAGCAACTCCTATAAGAAAAACATTTCATTGGGGTGGTTCACTTACAGAGTCAGAGGTTCGGTCCATTACCATCATGAAGGGCAGCATGCCTGAGTGTTCAGGCCCCAGAAGGTCACTGACACACTCAGGTGTCCTGAGCATAGGAGACCTCAAAGCCCGCACCTACGGTGACACATGTCCTCCAACAAGGCCATACCTACTTCACAAGCCTCACCTCCTAACAGTGCTCGGCCTTGTGATATTATGGTGGCCAATTACATTCAAAGTGCCATAGGGCTTTATAAATGGCTCAGCAGTACCTGTTTGCACAGTTCAGTTCCCGGCACCAAGGTCAGACTGAGCACAACTTCTATTCCTTTTGATCCCATGGGGTCCTCTTAATTTCTCAACCATCTGCACATATGTACACACATAGACAAGTACACAGACTCACACAAAAACAAGGACAAAAATTAAAAAGAAGATAGGAAAAAAGCATTCACAAACTCTTGCACTTACAGGGTAAGGTCAAATGTGTTCACTCCATCAGACAAAGATGCAGAGACCCGGAATTCAAGTTCAGCCTCGCTTCATAGGGAGGTGGAGGCCGGGCTAGGCTTCAAAAATAATTGTTCCAAAGAAAAGGAAAGTAAGAATATATAAATAAATATTTGTTTTAATTTGTGATCATTTATTTACAATTTTACTCATCTGCTTTAAAAAAAAGTGAGAAGCCACTAGAACTGAATTTTTTAGTGGCTTGATAGATAATATTTAGTTAGGATTAGTACGCCAAATGTAGCCACTTGACACAAAACTGAAACAAAACAAAAGCAATTGGCTTTGTTACCTGCTGTCTTGGTCACTGTTCTATAGATGTGAAGAGACACCATGACCACAGCAACTCTTTTCCTTTTTTTTTTTTTTTTTTAGGTCATAGCAACTTTTACAAAAGGAAGCATGTAGTTGGGGCCTTACTTAAAGTTTCAGAGGCTTATTAGTCCATTGCCATGGCAGAGAGCATGGCAACAGGCAGCTACAGTGTTAGAGAAGTAGCTGAGCCCTACCGACATCCAGATCAGAGAGAGTTACATTACAGGTATTTGGAAGAGCAAGCAGTGCTCTTAACCTCTGAGCCATCTCTCTAGCCCTTGTCTTGTTTTTTAAGATTTATTTATTATGTATACAAGTGTCCTGTTTGCGTGTATTCCTGAAATACAAGTGTCCTGTTTTCGTGTATTCCTGAAGGCCAGAAGAGGGCGCCAGATTTCATTACAGATGGTTGTGAGCCACCATGTGGGTGCTGGGAATTGAACTCAGATCCTCTGGAAGAACAGCTAGTGCTCTTAACCTCTGAGCCATTTCTCCAGCCCCTGGGGCAATTCTTATTCAAACCACCACATGCCTGCTGTTGGTGCAGCTAGGCATAGGATGAATGGACACTTGCCTATTCCCCCTTCCCTGTGCCTCAGGTTCTTACGTTGCTTCGAGAAGATGGCCGAGACACGAATAATCCCAAGGATGAGCAACTCCACGTCCTTCCACTACACCGGCTGGCAGACACTGATGAATTTGGCTCCCGGGAGGGGATGGAGGAGAAGATCCGCTCTGGGGCCGTCGAAATCATTAAGCCAACCAGGAAGAGGCAACGACGTTTCAACGAGCCTATTCCTCGGTGTGGGAAGAGGCGGACCACAATGAAGGAGCCGGACAAGAAACCAGCTGCAGCTGGAGTCAAAAGACAGAGGAGCTCCTCCAGTAAGTGTGCCCCACTGCTGCCCCGAGAGGAACCAGGCTGGTGTTCCTTAAACACCTTTCATCCCCGGAAAGACTTGAACTTCAGCTTTCTGGTCCTCTTCTCTTTGCTGCCACCTTCTTGTATAATATTAGAGGGACCAGCCTTAATACTGTACATCCCAGGGGCTGAGGAGAGAGAACTCCTAACGGCGAGGACTATTTTCAGGAAATAGAATCTCAGCACACCGAGCTCTATAGTCCACTTGCTTTAATTCCTCTGGCATAACAGCCTTTATACACAGCTTCAGTTCTGTTCTCCTGCCTAGCTCCTTTCTTGCCTGATTTCTCTCTATACTTATCTAAGTTCTATCTTAATACTCTCATCTTAATTCTGCCTCATCTAGGTCCTTTTCAGCTTGTTCTTACCCAGCTAGTACTTCCCCACCTGGCTCTTCCTCATCTTCCATCTCATTCCTCTGGTACTCTCTTCTAGCCCTTCAATCTAGTTCTTCCCCATCTCAGTTTGTTCCTCTCAAGTTCTTACCCGTCTAGTTCTTCCATTCTCTTTTCTCTTCTCCCTTTCCGTGCCTTGGAGGTCCTGGTGTATAAAGCCAGGCTTCCAGGGTCAAACGGAGGGGTGATAAGAATCACATTGAGAGGCAATAACCGTTAATTATCATTTGCAACCCCAAAGGGAAGTGACCAATGGGGAAATGAATTAACTAAAGGCTAGATTTAGGTAATATCTAAGAAGAGGGCTCTTATGTGCTCAACTATAATCTTGAACGTGATTAGAAAATGCTAAGAATCTATAAGTTGCTAGGTAAATGGGAGAAAATAAAACTCCTTTTTTCCTGTGGCTCCTATCTGTCCAAGCTATCTGCCGTTTTTCTGCAGGGTGGGGGAAAGTGTGCTCAGTCGCTAGGCAACCTGTGTACAGCTAGATGCCTCTGGTGATAGTTAAAGGGAGATCTGGAACTAGAGGTAAGGTTTGGGAAAGAAGGAAGTAAAGTTTAATTGGCACATCCGCCAGGCCTTCTCAAACAGGTAGCCTGGATTCTTAAGTCTGTTCTTAGAGAGTGCAGAGGTATCGCTGATAAGGTACTTTCCTCCATCTGGGGATGGACCTGGTCGGATGCTGCCAATAATGATAATTACAGGGAGGCTTGAATTGGGGTTCTGGCTGAGCATAGCTGTCAGCACAGAAAGTTATCTAAATATTCCTAGAAGTGCTTAGGTAAGGAGTTAAAGGTCTATAAAGTTAGTAAGGCCGTAAGGAAGGAGAGTCTGAGCTAAATTGTGTAAAGCTATTACTGAACATCCGCCTGACCTAGGCGGTGTCTCCTTGTGGAATTATCTTAAATCAGGAGACTTGCATATGGACTGTTATTACTGCTAGTCCTTGAAAGTGGCCAAGGGAGAGATCTGATTCCAGAGGAAGCCCTCCCTGAGGCTGTTCTCCAAATACCTGGAATGTGTATGTCCAGAGAGTGATCAGTCCACACTGTTAGCCCTTCTTAGGAAAAAGTCAATTGGGAAAACTGTGAAGACACACATGATTTTCATACCAGAAGACAGCTGATATATAACAAGCCAAGTAACACCAACAGCTCCTTGGGATTTGGCTTCCTCTGGAGGAAATCCTTGATCCCTCCAGGTAGTGACTTTGCCATACCCAGCTGAGCTCTTATGATATATTCCTACGGCCCACAGCACCACCTTACCTTGACACGCTCACCTCCCCCAGGGAAATGTGTGGTTGGGGGTTTTTACTCTTTTAGGGGGGGCTACCACCCATCTCACACACAGAGGTTTATTATTACTTATAAATGCCTGGCCTTAGCTTGGCTTCTTTCTTTCTTTTTAAAATATTTTTATGTACAAGTACTCCATTTGCATGTATGCCTGCATTACAGAAGAGGGCATCGGATCTTATTACAGATGGTTGTGAGTCACCGTGTGGTTGCTGGGAATTGAACTCAGGACCTCTGGAAGAGCAGCTAATGCTCTTAACTGCTGAGCCATCTCTCCAGCCCAGCGTGGCTTACTTCTAGCCAGCTTTTCTTAATTTAAATTATTCTGTCTACCTTTTGTCTCTGGGCTTATACATTTCTCTTACTTAGGTATATCTTACTTTCACTCTTACTCTGTGGCTGGTTGGGTGGATGGTCCCTAGGGCCCTCCTTCCTTCTCTTGCTCCTTTCTTTTTGATCTCAGATTTCTCCCGTCCATTCTCTGCCTACCAGCCCTGCCTGGCCCTTCTTTCTGCTCAGCGGTGGCCATTCAGCTCTTTATTAGATCAACCAGGTATTTTAGACAGGCAGAGTAACACAGTTTCATCATTAAAACAGAAGCAACATAAAGGAATGCATGCAACGCACGTTTGCATCATTAAAATAAATGTTCCGCACCATAAACAAATGGAACACGTCTTAAAATAATATTGAAAAACAGAAATGTCTTCATTCTATATTGTCAACCTCCCTAGTCCTCATTCACATCACTCATGGTACCTGCTGTTCCTTCTGCTACCTTTAAACTGCTGTTAGCTCTAGGGACCCCTGCCATTTTGGGGTTAGTAACTTTGTAGTAATGCTCTCGGGTTTTTGATTTTGACTTTTCTTTTTTTTTTTTTTTTTTTTTTTGGTTTTTCGAGACAGGGTTTCTCTGTGTAGCTTTGCGTCTTTCCTGGATCTCGCTCTGTAGACCAGGCTGGCCTCGAACTCAGAGATCCGCCTGCCTGTGCCTCCCGAGTGCTGGGATTAAAGGCGTGCGCCACCACCGCCCGGCGATTTTGACTTTTCAAGACAGGGTTTCTTTGTGGAGCCCTCGTTGTCCTGTGTACCAGGCTGGCTTCAAACCTGCAGAGATCTGCCTGCCTCTGGAATTAAAGGCAGTCGCCACTGCTGCCTAGAGCTGCCTGTTTTTTGGTTTTTAACTAAATATCTTTTGTATTAAAGTGTAATTATCCTCACATCTGGAAGCTGACATTGCACGATGATTTCTTTTTCATGTTTCATATGGACTTCTTGAAGGGAAACTAGGCCACTTGAACATGTGGCTCTGGCAGGCCTTGCCCTTCTCTCCCATTCTCTTGGCCTTGCTAAAAAAAATTAGATTGCATTTCTAAAGCCAGCTGCCAAGGATTATTCCCTTATTTGGCCACTTCATCCTCGTGAGGCTGACTACCACAGTCCAGCAATTAAGTGACCCTTTGGCTCACCTAATTAACATGCCCAATTAAAAATAAAAACACGGGCTGGAGAGATGGCTCAGAGGTTAAGAGCACTGCTTGCTCTTCCAAAGGTCCTGAGTTCAACTCTCAGCAACCACATGGAGGCTCACAACCATCTGTAATGAGATCTGGCGCCTTCTTCTGACCTGCAGGGATACATGCAGGCAGAACACTGTGTACATAATAAATAAATAAATCTTAAAAAAAAAAAATAAATAAAAAAAAAATAAAAACACCTTATCCCGACATGGGTTTTCCCCTTTCCCTCAATAAACCGCCTTTTGCCTGTGTGCCATGTATTGTCTCCTCTATGCAGAGACAGTCCTTTGTCCCTTGGGGACAAATGCCCTCCCCTCTTTCCCTTATCCTCTGTCTCCTTTACCACCGCATCCTAGCCCGTTCTAACACAGACCTCCCTTTTCCTCCTCTCAAAAATGACACCCACGCCGGGCGGTGGTGGCGCACGCCTTTAATCCCAGCACTCGGGAGGCAGAGCCAGGCGGATCGCTGTGAGTTCGAGGCCAGCCTGGACTACCAAGTGAGTTCCAGGAAAGGCGCAAAGCTACACAGAGAAACCCTGTCTCGAAAAACCAAAAAAAAAAAAAAAAAAAAAGAAAAGAAAAAGAAAATTAAAAAAAAAAAAAAAAAAAAAAAAAATGACACCCACAAGGTCACTTGCTGCTGTTTTCTGCCTGAGTCAGAAAGCAGCCACTTTAACTTTTCCTCCCCGCTTAATAAAGGATCTCTCGGTGAAATCAGGTGTTGGGTGTGGTTTGTCCCGAATCCGGGGTCCTGGAGGAAGCCCCTACTCACTATTTCAGGATTCCTTTAGAGTTGTCTGCCTAATTCATTGACAAAGGTTTCACCTTTTTACTGAATCTCAGTCTATTTCCCAAGACTGGAAATGCTTCTCACAAATATCATTGACTTGATAATTCTGGGTTGACAATTCTGGAATTGGAACTAGGTATGGTAGTGCAAATACATGCTTAATTCAGTCAATAGATCTGAGAATATTAATTGATTCTAATGTGATCACTTTAAATTTTTGCTATGGATTTTTTTCATCTCAGAATGATTATAATAATTTGTTTTATATTGTCTTTTAGATTTTTTTTTTCCTCTTTGCTCACAGATTTTCATTTTTAAAGTGCCTCAATGTAGCCTGGTGGTGGTGACAGTGCATGCCTTTAATCCCAGCACTTGGTAGGCAGAGGCAAGCAGATCTCTGTGAGTTCAAGGCCAGCCTGGTCTACAAAGCGAGGTCTAGGATGGCTAGGACTGTTACACAGAGAAACTCTGTCTTGGTGGGGTTCGGGGACATTGCTCAATGTTCATTTCCCTGTCTTAAAGTTGTAGAGACCTCTCACACTGACTTTGAAATTTTTTTTTTTTTTTTTTTTGGTTTTTCGAGACAGGGTTTCTCTGTGTAGCTTTGCGCCTTTCTTGGAACTCGCTTTGGAGACCAGGCTGGCCTCGAACTCACAGAGATCCGCCTGCCTCTGCCTCCCGAGTGCTGGGATTAAAGGCGTGCGCCACCACCGCCCGGCCCTGACTTTGAAATCTTAACACAGACCTAATTGTCCCTGAGAGCTCCTGTTACTGTAGGGTGGTCAGGGTTTTTCTTCAATTTTCAAGTGAATATGGTGAGGGGCAAGGAAGACGGCTGCTTATTAAAGAGCATTAAAGAGGGATCTTTGAGGAAAATTGTTCCATGAACAGTACAGTCAGCTGAGGTATAGCTCCATGGTAGACTCCTTGACTAGTCTTAGGGAATTCCTGGGATTCGTTGCTAGGATGATCCTAAAACATTAGAAGCCTGGGTATTTTGGCTTACGCTTATAATCCCAGCACTGAGACAGGAGGACCCTGTAAACTGCAGCCTGGTCCATGTTATAAAGATCCTCTTTCAGACACACATTTTGCCTGCTTGTGCATCCCTGGTGCCTGAGGAGGTCAGAAGAGGGTGTTCGATCCCTGGAACTGGAGTTACAGACAATTGTGAGATTCCATGCGGGTGTGGGGAATCAAACCCTCATTCTCTGCAAGAGCAACAAGTGTTCTTACTTCTCAGCCAACTGTCCAGTATCCAAGACACTGTTTTTTTTTTTTTTTTTTTTTGGTTTTTCCAGACAGGGTTTCTCCGTGTAGCTTTGCGCTTTTCCTGAATCTCGTTCTGTAGACCAGGCTGGCCTCGAACTCACAGAGATCCGCCTGCCTCTGCCTCCCGAGTGCTGGGATTAAAGGTGTGTGCCACCACTGCCCGGCCCAAGACACGTTTTTAAAAAGTGTAAAGAGCAGGCCATTTTGGCACACTACTTTAATCCCAGTACTGGAGAGGCAGAGGTAGGCAGATATCTGAGCATGGTCTACATAGTGGTTCTTAATCTCTCGACCATAAAACGATTTTCGTTGCTCCTTCATAACTGATTTTGCTACTGTATGAATCGTAATGTAAATATCTGATATTTCAGTGGTCTTAGGCGAAAAGGTGACCCCACAAAAGGGCTGTTTGACACCCACTCACACACAAAGAGGTCTCGACTCCCAGGTGGAGAACTGCTGGTCTACATAGTGGGTGTCAGGACACCCAAGACTATGTAGAGAGAGAGATACTGTCTCAAAGAAACCAAAGCTCGTTACAGGCCTAATCACAGCCAAGTGAGAGAGTGCTTGCCTACCCAGGGGCCAACACCAGGAGGCAGAAGAAGCATTTAAAACTAATTTGTAACAACCGACAAGGGATCGCACAGCTGATGTTTGTTTTCACATTTGTGGTAACTTTCTGTTCACGAGCTGATAGAGAGAGTGCAACGCAGAGTTAAAATTGAAACCACGCCCCCTTTTATTTTCAAAGGTTCAGACAACACTAAAAACTGCTCATCAGCCTCATCTACGCCTCACCCGGTGAAGGAAGAAGACTCTCCAGACTTCTGTCCCACCCAGGCTCCCTCCGTGAAAACAGCTACCTGTACGTACAATAAACCAGCCTCAGGCGGGTCCCCAGAAGCAAGTAGCGTTCCCCACTGCACAACGCCTTCTGGAACACACAGTGGTGCTAATGCAGCTGCTGGCGAATGCCCTGGCATTGTCCAGCCTGGGGAGGTGGCGCCTCTTCCTCCCCCGTCTTTCCCCAGAGCAGACGCCTCTGGTCTTGCTGATCCGCTCACTAGTCCGTCTGAGCAGCTAACTTCTAATCAGTCCCTCGGCTGTCCTCAGGAACCGGCTTCCGGTCAGGCGGAAGACGCGCCGCGCTCTGGCGCCGACGAGCCTCTCTCCGATGACCTGTCCTCCGACGAGGATAGTAACAATGCTCAGATTGATGAGTTCTGGTCGGACAGTGAGGAGGTCTACTTTGATCCTAGCTATGGTGGAGTGGCAATAGCCCCCATTCATGGCTCGGTGCTGATTGAATGTGCCCGGAGAGAGCTTCACGCTACCACCTCTCTGAGTCATCCCCAACGAGATTGTCCTTTACGTGTGGCCCTTGTATTCTACCAGCACAAAAACCTGAATAGGCCTAGGCATGGTTTTGACCTCAACAGGATTAAGTATGAATCCAGAGACTTAAAAAGAAAAAAGTCCTTCGACCGGGAGGGTCCTGATTTATTCCGCGAAGCCAATTTACTGTGCAAAATTCCCTCCCGTGTTGCGCCAACCTTAACCCGCGACAACATTGTCACTGTGTCCTCTTACGCTCTCACTCACGTTGCAGGACCCTACAAGGACTGGGCCTGAAGGCTTTCCTCCCATAATGCCTTTGCTGGTGCCGTGTAGTCTCTACGGTGCTGTTCAAAAGAAAGTCTCATTGTTGTTTACTGTATAATTTCACCCATTTCAGCTCGGAGGTAAAATTTAAAAAGGGGGGGAGTGCTTAACTGTGACTATATTTTGAGAATTGGTGGAAGGTATACATTTTCAGCAAAAATGCAAGTTTTATAGTTTAAAGACGTAAGGAAATATCTTGGTTAGGTGTTGACCATGATAGAATCATAGTTCGGTGCTTCAAATTAAGCTTGTTTACTATGAAGAGGATTTTAACAGGTTCCTGCAATAAGATGTAAAAACCAAGATACACAGTGTTCACTCTATTCAGTTCCTGGTGCTTAACCACATCAATACGTGTAGTAATGAGCTGAATGATTCATGGTGCCGTCCCTCCAGCAGCTTCCGGTCATTGCTATCATGTCTGCACATTTCTTTGAAATAAACCAATGAAATGCTTTTTCTCTTAAAATATCTCTCCTGTATAAAATAATTCTTTATTCTAGTGATGGTTGGAGGCTGTTCGTTAACTGTAAATATATCTATTTTGAAAAGCACTTTCTATTTTTAAAAGTAACTTGAAATAGTATAGTAGCAGAATCCTATGTCTATTATGTGTGCATATTTGCATACCAGAGAAGTCATTTATTTGTGTAGAGTTCCATACTGTTAAGTGCAGCCTATATTCAAATAATCTATGACTTACGTTCTCTACTTATAAAATAGAGGATCTCCAAAAAATTAAATACAAAGTGCCACCAATATCAATTTCCCCTTTTTAACTAGAAGGAAAAAAAAAGGTGTTCTGAAGTGTCTTTATGACAGATGTTTTCAAAGGGAGAAGGGACAAATTGGAATCAATAAATGCTCCCAGTGTTTCAACATGAGGAAGTAGATAGTTTAGTTTTCTTTCCCAAATGAGAAGAAAATACCCTGTAGAAATAATTGAGGGGAAAAATCTATTACCTTTATTGCTTCTAGGCCAGAGTCACATGGAAAAATTTGTACTGTAAGCCAATTAAGAGTCTAATTATTCATTACACTTAACCTTTTGGGTTTAGGTTACTGATAATTTATTTGGCAACTCCAACTTCTTTAGTAATCCCCTATTTTGAAGGTCGTTCTGATTAGTGTTCCAAGGTTCTTCTCACTGTTTAAGAAAGACTCTCCTAACAAGAAACCTAGAACCAAGAGAACTTTCAGTGAAATCCCAATGCACAGGTGCTATGATATTCAAGGTATTGGATTCTTCGGAAGTACAGGAACCCTAATGGTGCTTCTCAGTTTCCACAGGAAGCCCACAACTACTACCACTATCTTGGTGCAAATGCAAACAGTTCCCACAAGCTCTCTAGAGAATAACTTATTAAAATAATATATGGTGCAAAAGTTCTGACTAAGGAAGAAGAAGGGAATAGGAAGTGTCCATTGACATTCCATTATTTACAAGTAGATTTATGCTCCTTGAGTATATACAGTAGGGTAATCTGTTGACCTGATTTAGTGTTTTGTGTGCCTTAGATTTCTGTTTAAAAACATGTCTATTTTAAGTCTAGGGTTTCTTACATGTGTAAGTATATAAATGTGATTGTTTATTGCTTCGGCTGCTTCAGTAAGGTATTTGTTAGTGCATACTATCAGGAATACTCCCTTGTGAAGTTACCTTTGAGGATTTGGCCTTAGCTCCCACTAGAAATTGTTTCCTTGCCATGCTCACTTCGGGGTAAAATCTCCTCCTGCCTTTATTCATCCATTTATCTATCCATTTCTCCAATGCACACTTAATTGAATCTCTGGATTCGATTTGATTTTGTTTTCCTTGAATCACTTCCCAGGATGCAGTCTTATAAAGACTGCTTGGAATTACTTTCTAAGGAAATAGCAAATTACCTTTTAAAAAGATATATACATTCAAACTAATTTATTTTTAATATTAAGGGTTATTCAAGACAGGGTTTCTCTGTGTAGCCCTGGCAGTCCTGGAACTTGGTCTGTAAACCAAGCAGGCCTGGAACTCAAAGAGATCCATCCACCTGCCTATCCCTCCCGAGTGCTGGGCTAAAGGTGTGTGCCAGCATGCCTGGCTCAAGAATGGTCTTTCTTATGAAACAACAAAATAAATTGGTTTGAGATGACAGTCACTTATCAACTCCTTTAACATTCTTTCTGCACCTCTGTTGTTTTACTATAACTACAAATTCCTTTTCTTTAATCTTATTTGTGAAGCTCAGGTTAAGGCTGTTCATGGTGTGAACACTGTCATATAACCTCCATGATAGCCCACCTGACGCTTTATGAGACTGGGTCTCTACGTAGTCCTGGCTTTCCTGGAACTCACATGGTCGGCCAGGCTAGCCTACAATTCACAGAAATCTGCCTGCCCCTGCCTCTGCTGGGATTAAAGCTGTGCTCCACCCCTCTCCAAGCTGTCTTGTTTTTGTTGTGCTTGTCAGCCTCACGTATATCTATATCCCGTTTCCACTCTTCTACATGGTACCAAATAGACCATGTCATAAATTCCATTGAAATGTATTGTTGGGACATGAGGCTGATAGAGGTAAATTTTTGCAACGTGTTCACATCTTCAATTGCCTCCCAAATGTAATCATTGCATTTGTGAGACGCAGAAGAACTTCATTGGGTGAGAGCTGTAAGCCTTTCACCCTCTTACAGAGCTGAATGGATAGCCCTGTGGAACTGACTTGATTCACACGAGCTAAACTACTTTCGAGTACTTTTACTCCTTAACATTTCACAAGAGCAGGTACAAAACTAACCCCAGATTGGTCACATATGTTGAGACTTCTATGTGGGATAAAGCTATGACATCTTCCATCAATTGTGGGCACATTTGAACGTGCCAGCTAAGGTGTATGCAGTCTTTGATACAAAGTTGCCTTCACTTAACACCGCTCACTGCATGAGAATCATTTTGAGTCTAGATTTAATACAACTGGATTTTCATCTTCACTAGTAACTATAAGAATTATGAGGAGAAAAAAAAAGAAGAAGAAAATAATGTAGTGGATCTCACTGCAGTAGAAGTCATAAAGCTCAGCCTCTGTGCCCACAGCACAGATGGCACCCATCAGCTTGTAATTGCTTGAAGGCTGCTCCGTTCTTAGAACTGTACAAAACAAACTTTAATTTTCTCACCCAGAGAGTACTGTATTATGCAGAACTATCCTTATTTTTGGACAAGTCAAAAATAAAGCAGCTTTCTGTCCTCGAGGGAGGTTCAGAGCACGAAAAGTAATGGTTAAACTAGGTCAAGAATCCCTTGACTATCAATAGCCTGGGCTTTGTGCGGAGAAATTAGCTGACATTTACCTATGACTCTAGCCTATTCGCTTTCCTGTAAATATGGCAATCCCTGTCTTTGCCATTCTCTCTGGAACCTAGTGTTAGGAATACTTTGGCTTTAAGGGGTGGCTGGTGAAGCAGTTGAGAACAGCATATTTTCATTGTATATACTCCCTAGTGGTGGATGCACAATCCCTTCCCGCCCCTCACCTAATTAAGTGCCAGCAGTTAATTGTGATGTGGCCATCTTTGTAACGGGAATGCTGGTTTATTGTGCATAGCGCTCCTGAACTTGTTACTACAATGTGGCATATTGAGCCCTGTGGTATAGTCATTGCTTGGTTGTTTAAGACATCTAGATCTTTTCAAATGAAGTGGGTGTTTCATATTGTATTTCTCTTAGCATTAGGAAATGAATAATGCCAATCCAATCCTGTTGTCAGGAGGACCATTCAGAGAGAGTCAGTGAGTCCTCCTACAAAACTTGATTCTGTATATTTTCTTACAAAGTGTGAAGACTCCTGAGCATGTCTTTCTTTGTGTAATGGGAGATGGGCTTCTGTATTATGTTGTAGATAGAGCTGGACTTTTAGAGTTTCATGGTCTTGTGTAGCCAGTCTTGAACTACGGCTGAGGGTGTTGAGAACTTCTTTTTCCCTTTTTCTTTTGAAACTGGGTCTCACCATGCAGCCCTGGCCAGTCTAGAACTCGAGACATAGGCCTAGCTGGCCTTGAACCTGAGAGAGGTTCCTCCTGCCTCTGCCTCTGACTACACCCCCGCTGGTTTCTGTAGTTCTGGGAACTGAACCCAGGGCCTTGAGTGTGATGAGGAAGCACTCTTATCAACCTTCCCACCGTAGGGGAACTTGTTTTTGTTTTGTTTGTTGTAAGGAATCATGTCTCTACAAAACCTTAGCGTGTTGCCAAGGTTTTTTTTCTGGAATTTCTACCTTAGATATCTCCTTTCTTATTTGCTAGGGAACAGACACAGGACACCCTGCCCAGATATCGTACCTTTGTATTGGCCCCAGTTCTTTTCCCAGACAACCAGTTTGCTCAAACTACGTTATTCATAATATCAAGTTGACCCTGAGGCCCCATTGTGTTCAAAATCACCTTATGGCAGTCTGTAATGTCTCTAGCTTTAAGTGACTTATTCCTTTTGCACCTTCTGATTTCATCATGATAAAAAACCTGCTGCTCTATGTGGATTCTGGCTCCATCGCCCAGCTCATCCCTTATGCAAATAAGGTTCATTTGAGTTGCCACACAGATCCTCACTCCTCTGCCTTCCTTTTTGAGACATTATCTCATTATGTAGTCCAGGCTGGCCTTCAACTCTGTTTTGCCTCAGCATCTTTTAAAATGTGTCACGAAGCCCCACACCCAGCTTGGCTGAAATCTGTAATCCCAACTGTCTGAGGGACTGAGGCAGGCTGATAGAAAAACCACACAAACAGGGAACAGGGCTGCAGAGAGCTGAGTGCTGAAGTGCTTGCCTACCGAGCTGGAATACCCCTGGGTCCAGTTCCCAGGATTGCAGAAAGGATCGAGAGCGTGCGTGCGTGCGTGCGTGCGTGCGTGCGTGCGTGCACAACTTTTCAGTTAGGGGTAAATACAATTTAAATATGCCCATTCTCTTGTGTGGCTTTTCCGTCTCCATCTGCTAGATTACAAATCAGCCAGGCATGTTTAATCACTGGGTTTTATACACAGATAGACTTGCTTTTCCTTATCCTACAAATTTATTTGTTGATAGGAACCTGTTTCCTGAGATAAATTTACTCTTGAAATTCTTCAACTGTAATAGGTAATAATGATAGCCCTGGTATAATGGAATTAGAAACTTCTTGTCTGAAATCCCCCAGCTCAGACCTTACAGCCCCACATTACTACACATAATCTAATTTCCAAAATAAGTCCTTGGTGATGAGCCACCGGAAGCTCTGGTGATGGAGGCAAGGTGCAGAAAGGGGAATTATGCTCCCTTCAGCAACCAGAGAGAGATTCACGCACCAAAGCTCAAAACCAAGAAGTACCTGTAGTATTTCTTATCTACTCTCTTCAAATTTTAACTGGAAATGGATGCTTAATCAAGATAATACTTTGAAAATAAATATGACATTAACAAAATAATAAGCATCTAGCCCTCGGTGTGGTCCACACACCTATAACTTCAGTTCGTGGGGAGACAGAGGCAGTAAGATTTTAGGTTTAAGGCCAGCCTCAGCTACATGAGATCCTGTCTTATGGACCGCTTTGTACAACTTTTTCTCCCCAATATTGAAGCTTAGAAAATACAGTTCTCTTTTAGAGATGACCGCAAGCAACAAGAAAGGCCAGTAGCTTACTCCATGTCACATAGCCAGTCAAGGAATAGAAGTGATGTGGTGATTATGAGTGTTTTGCTTCCGTGTACGTGAGTCACGAGTTCGGTGCCCGTCGAGGCCAGTAGCATCCCCAGGAACTGGAGTTAGGTTGTTGGGAGCTGCCATCTCAGTGCTGGAAATCTAACCAAGGTCCTCTGGAAGAGTAACAGGTGCTCTTAACCAGTGAGTCAGTCACCCAGGCATGAAAGGCTCTCCAGCTGCCAAGTGCTCTATGCAGTTAGGCAGGAAAAACTGAATTAGGGTGTTACTGAATAGAGCTAGCAGAAACATGAAAATTATTTATAAAACATGTTTCTTAGCAATTTTGTTTCCATTGTTTAACTACCCGTTGTCATTCACATGTTAAAGGTCTCCTCAAATTCTCTTTTGTGCATTAAAGGTTAGGTTTATGATTTATATTTTGCTGTGTGTGTGTGTGTGTGTGTGTGTGTGTGTGTGTGTGTGTGTGTGTGTTTAAGGCAGGTTCACAATATAACTCTAGCTGACCTGGAAAATTCTATATAGCCCAGGACCAAATTCTATGATCCCTAGGTACAGGGAGTGTATGTGTGAACCACCCTATTCAGTGATCAAAAGTATAGAGAATATCCCTTTACTATTAATAGGAAGACAAAATACTTTTTCCACTAAGTAATTTTTTAAATAGGACTTTTAAAGCCCCTCACAATCAAAGTTTAATATATTTGTTTAAATATATTGAAATGAAGGCTTCTTGAAGGAAATGGTGCTAGCTGAACATTTTAGTTCCTAGCCCTTTGCTATAAATATGTGAAATTATTATCTCTAACCGGTTGTATTGTCTCTAGATGCGTCTTGTTGGATTGTGTGTGTGTGTGTGTGTGTGTGTGTGTGTGTGTGTGTGTGTTCCTTCCACTTCCTTTGTAGCCATATAAATCTCTGGAGCAAATATACCTTTACCTAGAAAGTTAAGAATACTGAGATGTATTTGTAAAATTTCTAGTAATCTCCCTATAGGTTATTTTACCGACCTCTCTATATGGAAGTAGCATATTTTGACTATTGTGATTACATTCTTTGGCACAAAAAAAAAAAGCAGTGTGTCTTTGGGTTTGGGGGAACAGGCCAAGTAACCTTGACTATTCAAGTGAGACCTCCTCTTAAGTTGGCGAGTTTCTTTCCAGCACCTGTTTTGTGCTCTGATGAAATGGCCGGCTGTATTTGACTTTACAAACACAGTTCCTAGGAAAGATTAAATATTTTTATTGCAATGTATGGTCCTATTTTTTTTAGCCTTTATGGAGTTAACATTGTGATAGGTGCTTTAAGAGAAATATTTTTCCAGAAATGGTTTTATAGCTAAAACTATGGGCAGCTTTTGCATTGTGATGTGTGGGTCGATGGTTATATTTGGGTTACTAGGAAATTTTGAAGTGTTCCCTAAGGAGAAAGCTGAACGATTCCATGGCAGAGAGATCAATATGAATTTCTAGTTTGATCATAATGTAAGTTAACATGCATGTCATTAGCTTAGTTTTCAGGAATCAGCAGAATGCTTATCATTGGTGGGATTAAAACATTTTGTTCGCGTTCTTCACCATATACAGCAGTGCTGAATTTCCTCTAGGCACATAATCATTTCCCTAAGATAAGGCCTTGCCGCCTAACTCTTGGAATATGTTTACTGTTAACTTTCAGCAATGCCATCCTGCCATTGTATCTCACTAATTGAAGTTTTTATTATAGAAAATGCTGTTCAGATTCCAAAAACTATTTGATTTGGTTCTTCACCTATGAGGGGACAGTTACAGAAAGCACTTCATCACATTAAAGGGAAAGAGAATCTTATAACCATGATGGTTTTAGTACGTGATCAATACTGAGTCCTCTGCACAGAATGGAACACTTCCTAGCAGTACTTGAATACTTGTGAGTTGGAATTGCATGTTACTTGAAAGATCTAATTAAGCTAAATTTTGGTGCACAGCGGTTGTACATGATTTCATGTTTATGTAGCAGAATACATTGAAATGTATTAGTATTGAAACATAAATGTAAAAATAGTTGTGGAAATTGTCTTATATTTTCCTTATGTCTCATTTGTTTAAAGCATAAATTTTCTTTTATTGTTCTAACTAAATAAGGAGAAATGAATACTGTAATTGAAAATATATTTTAAATCTTTTTGTCATGTGTTTTTTTTTTTAAGCTATTGCAAATTGTATCATTCCTGATTATACAGAACTTTGTGGGTGGTATAAAATAAATTTTATACTTCTATTTTGCACCTGGTGGTCTAATTTTTCTTTGCTCTTCATAATCTTATTGAAAAATATAGCTACCATTCCCATTTTAATTACAAAAGACTTATGGTTTAAGCAAGCAGATCATGTTTAAGCAGAAAATCAGTGCTACGTGCTACATTAGAAGACATACTAAGCATACCCAAAGCCCCAATCCATAGAACCCAAAGAAAGGGTTGTTTTAATTTTATTTTATGTGCCTGAGTGTTTTGCCTGTATATACTGTCTGTGCACCAAGTGTAAGCCCCTGGAGGCACTCTAGTGGGCAGGCCCCTCCCGTGAGGACCTCTAACTGCCAGGTTCCATCCCCAGAATACTCTTAAATTCCCTAATTGCTGGACCCTACCCCCACCCTGCAGAGCAAAAAGCCCAATCTCTGGACATGAAATTCCACCCTGAAAAGTTCTATCCCCTTCCCAAGAAGCTCTATATAAGCCCTCTATCCTGTTCAGTTTGCTGCTGTTTCTTGCTCAAGCCACCCTGCTGGTTTTTTTCCCTCCCAATAAATCTCTTGTGTGATGTTTGTTGTGTGGTGTAACTTTGTGGTATTCCTTGGCTTCCAGCTACCCATCCAAGCTGCAATGGTTATGTTTGGTGTCGTGACTCAGATAGGTTCTCCTAGTGCCTGCATTTCCCCTCATGGTCTAAGCAGCACTGGGACACTGTCACTCATCTCCAGTCCACCCTCAACAGACTCATCTGGCTCACCGATCGTTCAGCACCCCATCCACCAGAATCAAATAGGTAAGTTTTCCTTTCGGTCTGTAGACGTGACCATTGAGTGTCCAGCACCCATCTAGTACTCTTGGAATCGGGCTGCACCTTTTCCCTCACCTCGCTCATCCATGGGAACTCAGCACTCCAGACCCTCCCATTCCCCCTTGGGATGCCTCTTAGAAAACCTCCAGCCTCTTCACCTGACACCCGACCTGAAGGGCACTAAATTTACTTGCTTTTGCAATCAAATTTGGCTCCGTTACCCCTTAGATAATCAATCCAAAGGGCCACCTAATGGCACCTTAGATCCTATTATTATTTGGGACCTTTACAAATACTGTGAGCAACCGGGGAAATGGAAAGAGATTCCCTAATCCCTTAATTCTGCTCCAAGCCCTGTTTGTCTAGTCTCCCCTCCCCCACACACTGTGTAAATGCCCTGTCTTTTAAGTTACCATAGATGGATCTGTAAGTTTTTTCCAAAGTGGGAGCTCGGAGCCAGACCTAGCAGGATTGGGAGGAAGCAAAGGAGTAGACCAGCTGCAGCATGCACACACTCCTCCCTGGCTGGTGCATCTCTCAGCTCCTTCCTGTGGTGCCCTCTGTCTGTGTCCAGAGTTCAAAATTTCCTATCTTAAGCCTTCTTTGATGGCTTACTGGATTTAGTTTGACTGGGATTCAGGTGTGTTTCAAGTATGAGTGGCATTGGACTATTGTTCTATGCTATCCCACATTTGAAAGTTGGCTCTGGCCGGGCAGTGGTGGCACACGCCTTTAATCCCAGCACTCAGAAGGCAGAGGCAGGCAGATCTTTTCTGAGGGTCTAAGAAAGTGTTGTCTGAGGATGTGAACGCTTAAGTAAGTTTTAAAGGTATAGGAAAGTGTCATGTAAATCAAAGTTCTGAAGTGTTTTGTTCTGGAGGTAAAAGTGATTTAAGGCATGTCCATGAAAGTCCTGAAGGTATAACAGAGCGATTTAGAGTGATGGAAAATGTTTCAGATTTCTTTCTTTCCCCTCTATGCTCTTGTGAAATCTATATTTAATGGTTCAACCAGACCACTTGCACGGTGGAGGCTGGAGATTGCTCACCAGCAGGTTGCCAGAAAGAGATACTTATCCCTGTGACACCTAAATCAACTTCTGAAACACCTGTCCTCTACGCCTTCTTTCTCTATGATCAAACTAGAGATCACCATCCACATTGGCCAGATGTAGTCTGCCCTTAGCAGTCATATAAAAGTAAGATCAGACAACTTCAGACAGATCTTCAAAAAAAAAAAACATAAGAAACAGCTTGATGCCTCCGGCCAGTGGATCATCGATAGTCCAATATGACACTGGATGCGACCTTTCTCAGCCCTTCTTTCTTTTCTTAATCCTACTAGTGGCACCCTGCTTTATAAACTTCTTGTCTAGATTTCTTCAACAACAGATCCAAGAGATTTTTTTTTTTTTTTTTTTCTCGAGACAGGGTTTCTCTGTGTAGCTTTGCGCCTTTCCTGGAACTCGCTTTGGAGACCAGGCTGGCCTCGAACTCACAGAGATCCGCCTGGCTCTGCCTCCCGAGTGCTGGGATTAAAGGCGTGCGCCACCACCGCCCGGCCCCAAGAGATTTTTAACCAGTTACTATGACAGGATTACCAGCCCCTAGAGACCTGCAGCACCTGGTTATATCCTGATGATGAAGATCAAGATTGCCCAAAGAACCTCGACACCCTGATTTAGCAGGAAGTATTCTAATGATAACATCGCCCCCTTTCCTGTGACCTGATGGCTTATTAATAATAATCAAAAAAGGGGGGAATGTAAGCCCCTCAAGCTGCTCCTGTGGCCAGGGTCATACCTCAAGGACCTCTGATTGCCAGGTTCCACCCACAGAATACTCTAACTGCTGGACCCTGCCCCCTGCAGAGCTTGTCCAATCTCTGGACATGAAATCCTACCAATCTCCACCCTGAAAAGTTCTATCCCCTTCCCAAGAAGCTCTATATAAGCCCTCTATCCTGTTCAGTTTGCTGCTGTTTCTTGCTCAAACAGAGGCAGCCACCCTCCTGAGTTTTTTCCTCCCAATAAATCTCTTGTGTGAGATTTGTTGTGCAGTATGACTTTGTGGTATTCCTTGGCTTCCAGCTGCCAGGATACCTTTCCATCCGAGCTGCAAGGCTTACACCAAGTGTATGTCTGGTGCCTATAGAAGTCTGAAGAGGGCATTCAATTCCCTCTAGCAATAGTCCTTTCTACATATAAATGCACCTAATCTTAAATTGGAAAATAAGCATAGGAAAGTTAAATCACACTGACCGGTGGTGGCGCATGCCTTTAATCCCAGCACTCTGGAGGCAAGGTCAGGCAGGTCGCTGAGTTCGAGACCAGCCTGGTCTAGAGTGAATTCCAGAACAGCCAGGATTATACAGAGAAACACTGTCTTGAAAAAAACAAAATAGTGTGTGTCGAGGGAGAGCCAGGATTGAACCTATGCCATGATGCATGCTCTTAGCTTCAGCTTCCCTCGACTTTCCTATATTTTTTCTGAGACCAGAGCATGCTGTGCTTAGTTCAGGCTGCTGGCTTTGAACTTAAATCCTGTAGCATCATTATCCAGAGTGCTAGATTTACTGGCCTGTACCACCAGGGTACTCATTCCCCAAACACACCCCATGCTGCATGTGTGGCTCTTTCTTTTCTCCCCTGTAAAGAATCAGCTCTAAAGAATCAAATCCAAAGCCTCGAACTTGCCAAGCAAGCACTCTTAGTACTGAGCTACAGCCTCAACACGCTCCCCTACCTGGGAGTGTGTGTGTGTGTGTGTGTGTGTGTGTGTGTGTGTGTGTGTGTAAATGAAAGTGAGAAGTGGAAGGATGGCAACTCTGCTTCCTCAATTGGACCTGAGGTAGTATTTCTCCTATTGATTGTACCAGGCATTGAACCCAAGGTCTCTTTTGTGCTCCCCAAGTACTCCGTCATTGAATTACTCCCTCAGCCCCTTTCCAGTTTATTTTTAAGACAGTTTCACTACATTAACCATGGCTGGCCTTTCGATCGCCCTGCCTCCTCCCAAGTTGCTGGTGTTAAGAGTGTGCTCCACCATGGCCAGCCATAGAATTTCTCTAGCTTTCAGCAGAATGATACAATGGAGTTACTATGCCAAGATTCTCAGGATACTACAAAACAAAAACTAGATCATTTTAAAAGACAAAATGTTACTTTTTCTCTTTCCTTAGTTGTGTCTGTCTATATGTCTGTCTGGTTTTGTTGTTGTTGTGTGTGTGTGTGTGTGTGTGTGTGTGTGTGTGTGTGTGTGTGCTTTATGTCTCATAGCCCAGGCTGGACTTGAACTCAAGGGGATCTTTCCTCAGCCTTCTAATTTCTGGGATTTACAAGCATGACCTCCTGTGCCCAGGCCTACATATAAATTGTTTCATGGGAATGGGATGGCCTGGCGCTCTCTCTAGAGTTCATGGTTGCTTAGTTATTGACTCTGTCTTCTTAGATGGTAAAGCAAAATTCCTTGGCAAAGGACTAGAACACGTTTCCATCTACTGATACTGGATTGTCCAAAGGTTAATTGGCCTGCTACCAGAACCCCAATTTTGACAGGCAAAGCTGAGCCGGGAGCTGCCACTGCCTTTCTCAGTTTGACCTTTGACGTTCTCTGATCATCCTTGTAGTCCTTTTCTTCCAATCCCGTCTGTTCACAAGTGTTGACAAACATTTTCTTCTGGGTGAAAAGACTTTGGCCGATATAGTTTGTAGGATCTCTGAGTTTGAGGCCTGCTTGGTCTACAGAGCAAGTTCCAGGATAGCCAAAGCTACAAAAGAAACCCTGTCTGGAAAACCAAAGAAAAAAATGTAAATAACACTCTGGGCCCACATCTAGGCACCCAGGATCCGTGAGCTCTCTAAGTGTTATTGATTGACTATCTGCCCTCCAGGCACAAAATTCATATATTAACATCTTAAGCACTAAGTTAATGATCTTTAAAGATTGAACGTTCAAAAGATTACAACATAAAAGTTAAAAACATTGACCTTATAAAAGAAGCTCCAGCCGGGCGGTGGTGGCGCACGCCTTTAATCCCAGCACTTGGGAGGCAGAGGCAGAAGGATCTCTGTGAGTTCGAGGCCAGGCTGATCTACAGAGGGAGATCCAGGACAGGCTCCAAAGCTACACAGAGAAACCCTGTCTCGAGAAACCAAAACCAAAACAAACTCACAAAGAAAAGGCCTCTTTGTGTGATTTTTTTGGGAGCTGGGTGGCGGGCCCCCAAAAGAGCAAAAACACCACCACCAATGTATGTACAACACGTGTGTGCCTGCGCATAGGCATGTACAACATGGGAGTAGCCGGTGCTTGGTGGAGGTCAGAGGCTGGTATCAGATTCTCTAAAACTAGGGTTACAGACAGTTGTGAGGTACCAGGTGGGAGCTGGGAACTGAACCCAAGTCCTCTGCAAGAGCAACAGAGGCTCTTAACTGCTGAGCCAACTCTTTAGCCTCTGATCCCAGACTTTCAATCTCCAAAAACTTGAGAAATAGCACCAATCCTTTTAAGTTTGATTAAGACTCAAACCGGCGAAGAAAGCGAGAACCTGTGGGAATATTCAAACTTCAAAGTGAGGGAGGAAAAAAAAAAACACCCACAACTATGAGTGACCGCCACTCCCTCGTTATCAGCCTGCTGGAGGCTGGAACAGGAAGATCACTGGAGCCTGTGACATCCAGCCTCGGCAGCACGAGGAGACCTTATCAAGAGAGAGCACTTGGGGATGCAGTCCAGTTGGTAGGGTGCTAGGTGTCACTT